CATCAATCATCAATTGAGAATATGTGGTGAAATATACTCCTTTCCTATTAGCATGTTAAATTTTTTCATTGGTGATGATCAACTACATCCTAGTCTGATAAAATTTCGAGTTCAAAAAATATTCTCTTTACCTCACTATATAAAATAAAGGAAAAAAAATTTCTCATTGATCTTGCTTCGGCCATTATGGTGGTGTCATTACAGGCATTAAAATTTAAATGATTTTATTTCAGCAGATCATTTGTTTGACTTTTATTATTTTTTGTTTTTCCCGTTCAAGAATAGTGTTATTACTATTATTTTTATGCGTTCATCCGTTACAGCTACCGTATTCGCTGTTAGGTAATATGATGTGATTTCTTATATGGTTAGTTAGCCTAGAATTTTTGTAAGATTTTAGTTTTGTTTGTATTGAATTGATTAATTGGGTTTTTGTTACAAAGTATGATTTTTTAAATTTGTTTTTTATGTTTCATTCAATTAGACTGGTTTTCTTTTTTTAATTATGGAGTCTCAGGTTTTTTTTCGTATATGGTCAGTTATGAAGTGTGTTTTTTCTTTGTTTAATTGCTTTTGATTTTGTTTCATACTCCCAGTTGACCAATTATTATAATTATTATTTTATTTTATTTACAAATGAAGCCCTTTTTTTTGTGTTCGGTCTTTCAAGAATATATTTTTTTTTGGATTTGATTTTTGGACTTTTTTTAGTTCCTTATCATATAAATAGTTCAGGTCGCTTTTTCTAACTAATTTATGGGGAAACTTTTTATGAATTTGAGGTGGAGAGGGAAGGAATGATTTTTCTACGTTTATTTGTGTTTTTATACATCATTTTTACCTACAGAAAAAAATAAATTTCTTAATTTTTAATGGGCTATCTTTTACTTCTTTTTTTTTTAATTTGCCATGGTGAGATGAGTTGTTTTTTTATATAACTTGAAACCTATGTAAATTTACATTATTTTTATTCTCATATTTGTGATCAACCAGTTTCAACAATTAACCAGTTTCAAAATCATATTTTTGATATTTTACTACCTATAAACTTTTGGAAGAAATAGCTTCAACAATTAAGCGTATACCCTTTGGAGGAAGCTTATTACAAAGCTATTATAAATCTCCAAAACTAAGTATTGATTTGGCACAACCAATGGAGAACATCAATAAATTATCTTACTAACATTTAAACTTATGAGGATGTTTTTATATTTTGTCTTGCATTTACTTCAAGACATATATTTGATCAAGTTTATTTATATTTAAGAAGTAACACTTATAAAATATTTTTAAAATCTTCAAACATTTCTAAAACGTACCGGGCCAAATACAATTTCTTTTTTATTCCAAATACGAACATTTCTACGATCACACTTATAAAACATTTATAAATTCTTCAAACATTTCTAAAATATATCGACCCAAATACAAAATAGATTTTTTTTTCCAAATACAAATATTTCTAAAATCTACAAATATATTGGGCCAGGGTCACGCATTGCGCGACCAGACATCACTAGTATATATATATATATATATATATATATATATATGTATATATATTTCAAAGTGTCGTGACTTAAGATGCGTCACTTGTTGGCGAAAGAAATGAGCCCATTGAATTCGTGAAAATCCGAAGCTATCACTATCCATTTAAAGATGGTTGCCATAAAATAGGTACAGTTGAAGGAAGAAAGAAACATATATGGTGGGATCAATGTTGATGAAATGCATGGGGCAATCATAAACATATATAGATGTGTAGGTACGGTGTATTTGCGATTTTGCATTAATAATTGGCTTATTCTTTTTTCTTTTTAGCTTGTATTTTTGTGAACTCGGACGAATACGATATCTTAAAATATTGATTTGGTCTTTATCATCTCAACAAAACTTGGTCAGTTTGTCTCTCTTTTTAGTCTGTTTTTTTTTAGATTATATATTATGGGATCCCACTTTGCTTAGTACTCTTTTCTTTTGTTCATTACTGCTTAAATAATGTGCACTTTTGGTACTTGAGTCACAGAGGCCTGGAATTAAAATTATTCCTATTGAAATTTTTATTCGTTTTGGATAGTGCACACATACGGAAAAGAGATTCGAATCCTATAAAGAAAAAAAAAAAACTTTTGCTAGATTCTATAGTTCATGTGTTTTTGGTTAATTACTAACCGACAATTAACGGTAACCCGTCTTCCTTAACTCAATGATTAGTGACAATTTAATTAATGATGATAATACACATTTGGAATTAAGTGGTTATTATAATCGCCCACGTTCATGTTTGCGCTTTTTTTTTTCCTTCTTTTTTTAGAAAAACATTACCCTGGGGTGTTCAAGCCCAAAGAACACACACCCATCTTTTTAGTTACCTTCTTGATAGGCAGATGATTTTATCAGTGCATAGTCTTTTGTATCCCGGAGATTTGAGAATATTTTAAAGAATATATATAAGTCGTATATATTGTATCGATTACTCTTATTTTAGAACGTATATACCAGTTGTATTTCAACTATGTATAGGAAACTAAAAATGTACCTTTTAAAGAAATGGAAAAAAATGAAGAAGCCTCTTTTGTGATTTTCTTTGATGTCTTTATTTATGTGTGAAGTGACATTCACCGATCTTACTCTTATCAAAATGAATTATACGTGCCTTTCAAAAAAAAAAAAGAATTATACGTGCAAATACGAATTTTGCAATTGTAGGCTTGTTGTGTTTTAATAATTAAACATGCTATGTGTTTATCGTTTCTAAGATGGACTCATAAAACACTGTATCTGCTCTCTTTCTGGTGATAGTAACGGTACATGCATATAAGAGGAGAAGGAAAGGGAGCCAAGAGAAGGAAATAAAGAATTGCAAAACTTTCCAAGAACACGAAAAAAAATAAAAAGCGAGTACAAAAATTGGTGTGGGAAACATAATTAACCACTATTTTTCCAAAAATATATATATAATAATTAGCCACTACGAATATAAATGCACTACAATTTACAAGTTGCTCGAAATGCATACATTCCAACTAGGAAAATGAATCCATCACATTGCTTATTTCTTTTTTTCCCCCTACCCTACCCATACCATAACACACATATTCTATTCCTTCTACGCTTTTGAGAATCGATCCCTTAAATGAAATCTCAGGTTCAAGTCTCGTAAATGAAAAGAGCAATTTTGGAAGAGATTTCCCTCTGAAAGGAGACTGACCGCCTCGGTACGAATTAGTCTATATACAATACACTTAAGACAACGTACACATTATGCCAAAAAAAAAAAGAGCCCTTCATCTTAATCGATGTACTGCATTCGATTCTTAATCATAGTGCATGTAAGGCGAACTCTATACACTTGCAATACTAATCCAATACTAAATACTTTAAATTTGTTAATTCGAAAAATCAGTGAAATGAAAGAGAACAAAAACAGGGCGGAAAAAAAAAAAAAAGCAGGCAGTAGAAACTGTAGAAGTAGACCAACCCTAGTAATAATAGGGTGAATAAGTAGTAATGAGAGATTGAGAGTGACAGGGGAAGGACATAAGTGGCTCTGATCGAAATGATTGTCTATTTTTTATAAGTTGAAGATAATGGCCCCCGATTTATTTTTGTATATTGTCTGCACTTCAAATCAATGTCGAATTGAGCAAAGCTAGGAGGAGGACCAATCATTTTGTGATCAGGTTCTTTCCTCTTCCTTTTTTTGCTTTTTCTTTCTTCTTCTTTTCTTTTTTTAGCTCATTTTGCTGCACTCATTGTTCTTTTATCAGGTCGTACATGAGCTTCTTGGATATAGAGGAATTCGTGCGTTATTTAATTTGATCCACGAATCAAATAGGCTGAATCCAGAGGGAGGTTGTTTTTGTGCTTGTCCATCGATCGCTTATGGTTCTTTTCTTTATATAGGCTAGCCTAGATCTACAACAAATATTCTACATGTAGATGAAATATTTCTCTTCATATATATCATCACGATTCAATAATAAATTATGTAACATTACTATCGGGGCGGGAGGAGGGGACCAGGTGGTCCTGTTCCTTCCCACGAATTATTTTTATTTCTTTCACAAAAGATTTTAGCATATTGCTAAGGAAAATTGATGTCATTTGATCTCTGGACTCTGGTTGCTTAAACTTTTGGCTCCATGTACAAAAGTGTGTTTAACTTTTTAGCTAATTTCACAAGAATAGTTTTTGGTAACTCTAAGCCCAAATGATAGTGAAGTTTTTTTTTTTTAAAAAAAAACATCGTGAAAGGAGAATTCAAAAGATTAAAGAAGATAACCAAATTATTATATTGAACCAATGCTCTAAACCTTGGGTGCTTTAATAATCTTGATATCAGGTCATTGTTTGTTAAACTGAAATTAATATAGCGAAATATAGTATCGGGGCAAAAGAAATAATGTTTAACTTATGAACCCATCATTTTGAAAGTCGGATTCTGAAACTCGGATCTAGTCTCCTCAAGGATCATTACTATGAGATATGAATGCATTCAACCTTCAGGGAGGTCAAATAATAAATGAAATTGACCACGCACACGGCAGACCAAATAATACATTCTCACAGGATGTCAACAGAGAAAAAATATCTGCAAATTGGCTCAAAAAAATTCCTATTCATTCTCTATGGAACCCGATTTTATATAAATATAAATAAATAAATAAAAAGAAATCAACGAAAATAGTCAAATACAGCCGAAAGTTGAAGCCTTTGCCTTGAACGTGTGTAGGTCTTCTGGTCCCCGAAAATTACATTGCCTTAGATGATGTTTCACTTCAATCATCGTTTTCGAATATAACAAGGAGGTAAGAGTTTTAAATTGAGGAAACTTTAATGAATAGCTTATCATAGGGATGCGCAAAGATATCTACACTACTATTGTTAATAAAGCCAATATCCCCATGGATACATTCCTAATCTAAATCTCAGATTAATTACAATGGCCGGGCAGCGCAAAATAGAAAAAGTGAAAAACCCACCTCCTTTTAATGGCTTCAATAGCCCATTGAAGGCATCGCTGGGGAGGATTCTTTCTCATTCTTTGGATGTTCGACAACAACAGCCTCGGTGGTGGTTAATAAAGAAGATACACTGCATGGATTGAATGAAGTTAAAACCACTGATTTGATGAGTATACAAAAGTACAGGACACCAAGGTGAGAAACAGAATCTCATCATGTTGTTTGTTACCTTGCAGCATCAACCAAAGCTGTTCTGATAACCTTCAGTGGGTCTATAATTCCAGTCTGGACCATGTTGACATATTCACCTGGTCCAATCAAAATAAGTAATGATAAAGGGAATCACAATTTCATCAAAGAAACATATCTAGTGAAAGAAGAATAAATCATGGGTGGAAGTGGATAAAGAATATAAGAATGAAACCTTTAGCGGCATCATAGCCGAGCTCGGTATTCTCTTGTTCCAAAAGTTTGCCAACAATTACAGCACCCTCAGCTCCAGCATTTGAGGCAATTGTCTGAACTGGTGCCTGCAATCATAAAAGCAAAAAACAAGAAAAGAACATTTGCATTAGAGGTTGTTCAAACTAAACAAGTGCTTGCAGCCTCAGAAAGTAGTCTATGTTGAATCATCAATCTCATTTAGTTGAAATAAGAATTGAACAAGCGCATTCTAACTCTCAAGTAGGGACTCATAGATACATACTGCTCAGAGCCATAATCAGTGCACAATAACAGGATGTGTTAATTAGTAAGGTTACAGATGCAGTCTACAATCAAAACTCAGAACTTTGTCAATAAAATTCAACCAAACAAAAGATAAGAAGACATCAGCTGATGAAATGTAGTTGAGACAGAACACACTCAGTCTATCTACAAAATGGGATTACTTGTTGGCCATAAAATCATATTGCCCAGGCACCTACATACCCCAGAACCTTCTGCGAGCTTACTTAAGGAAAGTATAGGCGGCTAAGAAACAAATATGAACCAAGTACCTTAAGAGCATTCTGGATAATCTGAACACCGATACTCTGATCAAAATTGGCAGGTTTCAGCTTTTCCAACTCCTTGGAGGCATAAAGAAGGGCAACTCCACCACCTGTCAATGCAATGTCCTAGAAGGTTGCATAACTTATACAAATAAAGGATCAAAGGCAGGATGTCACAGTCATTAAAACTACCTGGCACGATGCCTTCCTCAACAGCTGCCTTTGTAGCATTCAAAGCATCAGTAACTCTATCCTTTTTCTCCCCAACCTCTGTTTCACTTGCCCCTCCGATCTAGGAAGTAGATTGAGCACCACAACTTGAGGCAAGGTATTTTTTTTAAAAAAAAAATAGAAGAAAAATGCGAATTAACTCAGTACCTTCAGAACCGCGACACCACCAGAGAGCTTAGCTAGTCTTTCCTGAAGCTTTTCCTTGTCATAGTCAGATGAGCTTAGTTCGATTCCAGAACGTATCTAGGAGTACAGATTCCAGGTCAGAGAAGATGGACGTAACAAACACAATAGATCCTGACAAAGACATCAAGGAAGGCAAACCTGTTCGCATCTTTCCTCAATTGTCTTTCTGTCCCCAGCACCATCAAGAACAACTGTGTCATCCTTTGAAACTGTAACCTGCACAGGCATTACAAATGTTATTCAACAAAAGAATAACAGGTTCATAAGTTAAGCTCATAATTCAAATGCTCTAAGCATCACTTCATTAAAGTGGTTAAAGCAAAGGTAATGAATAAAAAATAGATCTGACCAACCTTCTTGCATGAGCCCAACATATCAATTGTCACCTTCTCAAGGTCCAAACCAAGATCTTCAGTGATAACCTATTTTTCGTTAACAAATTAATATTAGCATGTGGCATAATGAATTGATTGAGAATAAATACGCATGAACATCGTTGTTAGTTCTTACTTCGCCTCCCGTAAGAATAGCAAGATCTTGTAAATTGGCCTTTCTGTTTTCACCAAATCCAGGAGCTTTAACGGCACAAACCTGAAGGGACAATAATCCACTAAGAAGTCTTGCTACAGACAGATAATAAACTCAGATCATAGACCCAAAACATAACAAAAAAACAAAAGCACCTTAAGTCCAGCACGAAGCTTATTCAAAATCAAAGTAGCCAAAACTTCACTCTCCAAGTCTTCAGCAACAATCAACAAAGGTCTTTGCCTCTGTTGGAAAACGAAACCGTTAATTCATGGAATGAAAAAAAAAAGAAAGCCTTGTCAGTCAGCATGGTTCATTACCTTTAGGGCCAACTCCAGCATCTTCACCACAGCATGGATACTTCCAATCTTCTTTTCATGGATTAAAATCAAAGGGTTCTCCAATTCCTGCAAAATTAAGGTTAAACAAAAAGAAAACAAACCATTTAATTGGTTCAAATCCTTCAGAATCCCATCCGTTTACAGAAATTAAACTTACACATTTTTGGTTCTTTTCGTTTGTAATGAAATAGGGTGATATGTAACCCCGTTCAAACTTCATTCCTTCTACCACCTCCAATTCATTATCGAGTGTTTTCCCATCCTGCAAAAATTTAGCGAGAAACTCAGAAATCAAATGGATGTCCAACATTCTTTTTCAGGACATGCTGATATGAAATCCACCCAGTTTAGAAAATATGCATCATTTTGAACCGAGCAGTCCTGCGAACTCCCTCATTTCTCCACATGATATTAAATCTATATTAGACATCCCATAGAGAAAAGAATTTCTCATATTTTGAGCATAAACTGAGAGAATGGTGGCCCAAAAGAACAAAACTGCCAATTTTTGCAAGGAAAACAAACCCAAAACTACCTTTAGCCAACAATATGCATATACAAAAAGAACGATGTTGGGTGTATACTTACAGCAATTGTAATAACCCCCTCTTTACCAACTCTTTCCATAGCCTTGGCTATGAGCTCACCAATCTCTCTATCTCCATTTGCCGAAATTGTTCCAACCTTTTCACAAGTAAATATAAGAGAGATGATAAACCATTTAACACATTGAAAACTTAATTAAATGTCGAATCAACAAATGAAAACCTGTGCTATCTCCTCAGATGTACTGATCATCCTTGCCCTGCTCTTTAAGTGTGTGACAGCAGCATCAACTGCCATTGAGATACCACGCCTCAAGTCCATTGCATTCATTCCAGCCGCAACAGACTTGCACCCTTCGCTATATATTGCATGAGTCAGGACTGTTGCACAAGTGGTACCTGCATATGCACGCCCAAGAAGCTCATATTATATTAGCAACAATGCAGGACATACAGTAGCATGAGTAAAAGATTAACGTCAAGAAGAACAGGATCATATAAAGACGAATTACCATCTCCAGCAACATCATTAGTGGCATTGGCCACCTGCTTAACGAGACTAGCCCCAACGTTTTTCACCCTGTCATGAAACTCAATACTCTTTGCAACAGTAACACCATCTTTAGTCACTTTAGGGGCACCATAGCTCTGTTCTATGACAACATTTCGGCCCTGGGCAGAAATTAAAGCTCCACCAATCAATAAGTAATGACAGAAATAATCAATCACTTAAACAATAAGGACTAGCATTCGAGTCGAAACAATTCCGGCCCAGTAGTTCCCCTGTCTTCTTGGGTATAAGGACTACTAATTGTAGTGGAATTGAATTTAACATGTCATACGAACGGGGAAAAAAGAACAAAAAGATAGAAAGCTTAAGAAAATCTGCAGAATTAAAAAGCAGAAAGAAAATTTTTTTAAAAAAAGCTTACTTTAGGACCCATGGTGACTTTAACAGCATCAGCGAGCTCCTCGACTCCCTGAAGCATCGCTGACCGTGCTTCCACCCCGAATGTGATATCCTTGGCAGCATAGTTTCTGCTCCAAGCCAGCCTACTTCCAACCTATCACCGAAGACCCAACACCAAGATACAATTGAAGTAAAGAAGTACACAATAAATCGTTAAAGTCTTCCCAATAAAACCGAATCCTTCAATCAAAGACAAAAAGAAATTACTGGAAAAAAAGAAAAGCATAAGGTAATTTATACCTGTGTAGTAGCTTTTCTAGCAACTCTGCAAATTTTCCCCAAAAAAAACAAAAACCCACAAAAGTTACAGAAGAATCACGCATGCCCAAAAAATAATTAAAAAAATACTAATAAAATAGTGATCAGAGAATTAAGCACTAACATGGCTTTCGAACCAAGATTAGGAAGGAAGCGATACATGACAACTGCAGAATTTGGCTAAGATTAAACAGAGAAGACTCGGCTATAAGAACCACACACGCAAGAGTCTAAGAGGACGAAACCAACTTAAGAAAAGGAACAAAAAAGACCGGGGTTTAGGGTTTAAGATTTTCTTCTTTGTTTTGTTGGTTGTTTCTGGTAATTGTGTACTAGTATTTAATTGATGTTGATTTTGCTATTTTTAACTCTTTTTTTTTTATTTAAGACCTCCTGAATTGAACCGACAAGAAAGAAAAAAATAATTATAAAAATTTTTTGGTTTAAGGTTTTTCTTTTATTCTATAAGATACTAGTGATGTCTGGTCGCGCAATGCGCGACCCTGGCTCAGTCTATCTGTAGATCTTAGAAATATTTATATTTGAAAAAAAATAAAATTTTGTATTTGTAGCGATATATTTTAGAAATGTTTGAAGGAATTAGAAATGTTTTATAAGTGTGATCATAGAAATATTTATATTTCACACAAAAAAAAAAAGAAATTGTATTTCGCCATGTATGTTTTATAAGTGTTACTTATTAAATATAAATAGCCTTAATCGAATAAATGTGTTGAAGTAAATGTTAGATAAAATATAAAAAAACATCCTAATAAATTTAAATATTAGTAAGATGATTTATTGATGTTTTCCATTGGTCGTGCCAAATCAATACTTAGTTTTGGAGATTTTTAATAGTTTTGTAATAAGATTCATTCGAAGCGTATACGCTTAAAACAAAGTTGACACTTTGTAACAAAAATCTAATTGATCAATTCAATTTAAAAAACCACTCTAGTTAAATGAAACATAAAGAAAAAATAGAATAAAAAAAACGTGTCACGTAAAGTGCAAAGGAAAATTTAGTAATTTAGTTGTGGTTAGACAAAAGGGCAATTTAGTACTTTTTACATGCCACGTGGCAATCATATAAGGTGTTTGAAAGGGAGGTTTTTGTTTCTAATATAGTAGGATATATATGGAAGACCGTTCCGGGGGAGCAGGGATAGTAATATTAATCCGAAAACCATTAGCAATTGGATTTGTTGCTAAATTTTCAACCAGACACAAAACAAAAGCAGGGGTATAATCAAACACGGTCCATGGAACCGTACCTGAATTCAAGCCAATCTTTTTTGGCAAATTCAAAACTAAACATATCTTTTTAGACTATTAGACTGAAGAAGTTAATAGTAATTTATTCAGAAGAAGCTCGTTATGTGTCTCTTTACACGGAAAATTTTGATTGAAGCAGGGATACAACTGCTTTCAATCATTCAAACGGAAAATTTAAACATGTTTTACATCCAATGTTGAATTGATTATTGTAGGAAATACGAATATCTTTATATCTTTATAGATGCAAACCCATGTTAAAAACAGAAGCAATCTGTCTCTGTTTGAATTAGAATGTAATAGACCGGGACATTTTTTTTTCCTTTCAATTGCAGCCATGATAGGAAAATGGTCTTTGTGACATATTATCAAACATCTTCGACACACTAAACACCTCTAACATACCTTCAACAAGTGGAGACTAATCGAAGAAGGAGACGGAATTAATCTTCACACCTTCCACATATCTAGAGACTAATCGAAAAGGATCCCGAACTAACCGTTGTTCTGGTAGCGAAAATGTACTCCGGTTCTGCTATCGTCTTCGGTTTTCAGTTTTGCAAGATAGAGACAAAGAAAACACACAGGAGGACTGAGATATCACCGGCAACAGAAAGAGAAAGTGAGGCAGAGGAAGCGAATGACCAACATGGATAAAGAAGCGGTCAAATAGGACGGTACCACGTCAGCAAATAAAGCGGGTAACTTACATGAAACCGTGCCACAAAAGCGGATCCTCCTTTATATTAAGTAGATCAATTTTAATATCATTAGGAAAATAATTAGACCGTAAGGTTATTAACAAATACGGAGTAGTATTTATTTATTAAAAAATACTTAAGTTTGCAAGTATACATAGATGATAGGAAATGATCTATTTTCCAGAATTTCATTGTCTTTGTATTTTTGTTTTTACATACAAAATATTGAGTTAAAATAATTTTTTTTGTTGTGATTTAAGCCGATTGAGTGATGGTGATATTTGGGAATCGAAAACAAATTTTAATCACCTATCCATTTTAACAAATTTTTACTACCTCTTCCATCCAAAAAAAAATAATTTACATTGACCTTTTAAAGTTGTACTAAAAACAGTACAAAATTCAAAATTCGATGTGGACTATTTTTGTGAGACGGAGGGAGTACATGACAACATCGTAATAAACAAAACTAAAATCGAAAACAAGAAAATTCAAAGCTAAATGTGAAGAATATAAATGAGATGCAACAACATGTGATTAAACGACCAAATTTCAATCAAATTTAAAACATAAACAATATGCTATTGGAAAATACAACTCATTTCATATCAGGAAAGAAAGAGGATTATCATTTGAAATAAGGAATTCATTAAGTACTGGTGCCGGAAATGGTCCAGCCACCATTGAAATACATCATCGGAACTGAAACAGAGCCGACGATTAGATACATGAATACAGCCGAACCAAGGTTTGATTCAAATAGCCAAAAATGTATGTGCGTTGATTAAAGCACTAAGAATGTGAAAATCAATCAGAAACACAAACCATGAAAAATTCTCATGGAGATGCAGAGTCACCAACAGTTGCTCTCAAACTCCCAAAGTATAACTGCCGCAGTTCGCCTAAATCTTGCACTATGAGCAGTTTCAACCGCAATTGCAGCGCTGATCAGCGGTTTTTGGCAAGTAATTCGGGTCTTGCATGATCCATTTCTCCCCCCCACCCCCCGACTTGTTCTTCTCCTTCCCAGCTTCAGGACGACAACAATTATGGCACCCAGGAAGAAGACGATAGCTGGCCGGGCCACCCGGAGCTCAGACCGGGTCACTCGTAATGGCACCCGTTATCCAAAGCTCGACCGGGCATCGAGAAAACCAAGACCCGCCGCAATAGATTATGGACCCGTCTCCTTCCCCCTAGTCCTTTGTAAAATTTATCAAGGATTCATACTCTAGTGGTGGTTTTTTTCTTTTTTACTCGAATTCCTGACAACGAGGACAAGAATCGATTTTATTTTCCCCCTTCTTTGCTGATTTTTGTTTATCTTGCTTGGTTTGAAGCCAAAATTCATGGAACCAACTGCTCTTCCTGAAGATCTGGTCAGTTTCTTTGGGCTTTTTTTTTAAAAAAAAATATTCAGGGGGAAAAAAAAATTTATTTCCTGTTTCCTTTCATTTATTTATTTGAAATTAAATTAAATTCCCTGTCTTAATTATGGTATTTTAGAATCTGCTTCTTGTAGACATAGAAAAACCAAAAGGAACCACAGCAGTAGCTTTTGTGCGCAAGGATGGTGGATATGCATCTGTCCTCTATTCATGAGAAGCATCCGTCGGCAAAATTTCTGATCGCAGGGTGGGGATCACTACGTTAGTAGCACTCTTCTTGGTTGATTTCGGTTGTTAGGCTTTACTACTTCCTGTACTTGTAAATTTCAGTGTTTTTTTTTTGTCTTCATGTAGGTTCCTAGAATGTTTTCCATGCATCCCCCGAGGGTTTTCTGTATGAAACTTTTAGGGGTGTCACTGGCTGCGGTACAGAATTTGCTAATACTGATTTCGGACACGAGTAAGCTCCTCCGTCCATTTTGATTATTAAGTGGTTTCCGTCAATTTTATTTGTCGTCCTGACTGGTTGGTCTTTCGATGTATTAGTTAGTCCCCGCAAGTTTGGCTATCATGAAGCTGTGAAGCATGCTAAAATGTTGATTTACATGGCTGCAAGTACACTTGGATACATGAAGAAGACTGGTGAGACTAAGATTGAATCTGGTGGTCACATAAGTGGTATATGCTTGTTCTCTCATCCCTATTTGCTTTCCTTTTTTTTCTTCCTGAGATTTTATTTTATTTTGCCTTCTGATGAGTGCATCTTTTAAGGGTATTTCGTTGGGACAAATGGGTGGGAGAGGATCTTTCACAATGTACCTGTTAGTGATGACATCGATCAACCTATGGAAGATACATAGAGACATGGACCGATGCCATATCGATCATTGCCGCAGAATTTGTGCTTGTGACTATATTAAGCTTTTTGGTTTGTGTGATACATATTACTTTCTTGTTGTTTGAGAGTGGACAAATGTAGTTTTTACTTTGACAGGTTACTATATCATACTAACTTACTTCATATTGTTCGTTTCGATATAAATTTCTTGCGGAATTGTTCTTCTACAGTACTGTGTGCTTTTTGATGCATGTAATGTGCTAGTTATTTTTCCCCCTTATCATTGTTTATCATTTCCCATACACCAATTTATGTATGCAAATTAGGTACTAAATTAATTTGAATTCGGCATGAAGAATCTCACTCGCCGCTTCTAGTAGTACTTGAACAACATGCCAGTTTGTTCGAAAACGTTTCCTTTTAGTGGAACACCTGCTTGAGCTATACTGAGTGCTGGTCATTTTTTCATATATATATGTATGGCAGCATTATTCTTTTGAGTGAAATTCTGATTTTCCCTTTTTTCTAGACCTTTTAAAGTGTAGGGTATCAGATTTCCCAAAACGAGCTTCTTACTAATGATCATTTTTGGTAGCATCCGCGATTCGTGTAAGCGCATGGAGATTTTGCAATTCCGCAACATCTGTTAAAGGAACTTTTACAAGTTAAAACATACAAAGTATGAGAATGATATTTTGAGAGTATCCAGTAGTTTTGAACTCTGGCCATGGCCAACCATGAATTAAGAATAATTAAAATCACGAGTTCAAAAAAGGAACGAGCAGAGACATGTCTTTATGCAGTTAGCTGCAGATTCGTTATTCGACAAGGAAGCGATGCATGACAACCGGCAGAATTTGGGTAAGAATACTACCAAGAGCCAAGAAGACTGACTTGCTGCTGTAAGAACCATAAGGACGACGCCGTACTGCTTGAGAAACAAGAAAAGAAAAAAGACCCTCATTAGGGGTTTAGGGTTTAACTTATCATCATCTATTGGTAAGCGCGCAGACTCTTTTTTTTTTTTTTTATCCGAGTTTGCGACTATGCTGTGTCTATATGACTGATTTGATTTGATGGAATTCTTGCTTTTCCCTTTTTTTTCTTTTGGTTCAGATGTCTTTACTGGTTGTTTTTTTGATACTCTTTGTCTGGATGTGTGTTTGATTCTGGTTTGTGTTGTTTGAGCCTTTGTCTTTAGATTTGGATAGGACATAGTACTACTTTGTCCCAGAAAAATAATCCACATTTGAGTTTTGAGTTTTGAGTTTTTTATTAATTTTAGTATAAATTTAAGATCTCGATGTCGATTATTTTTTGGACAAAGAGACTGTTGCTGCTTTTTTTGATGTCTAACAACAATTGGGAAATGTTGGATTAGTTTATATAAAAATTTTATTTCAAAGAGTTGGAGTCATGTTTATATATTAAATTATTTATGCTCCTAATAATACAATTTATATAACGCTGCCCCTAATACAAAATTATCCTTAAGTTTTTCCCTACACAGATGATGATGATGATGAGGCAGAGAGAACCAGGCCTTCAATCCTTCATCGTCGCCATCCCCAGCGGCGGAGGCAGAGAATGTTGAAGCTAATTTTCGTGTGAAGTTCCTTCAAAACTTTCGCAGCCAAACACACTGGAGGGGTCTATTGCTTCCTTTACATTGAATCCGTGGAAACTCTTGTCCCAAGTCTTTAGGAAGACACCTGTCCTCCAGGGTTTTCTCCGTCGACTTCATCCACACGAGTCACTTTCACGGTTCTCGTCCCAGTTTCGCAATCAAATAAAGCCAAATGAGGAACGCGGAGTGGGATAGATTAACAAAAGTAACTCGTCCTTGTCCCCGTTCCGACCGTTATGAAATGTACTTTGTACAACATCTTGTCCTCCATTGATCATCTCTTATTGATGTTATTTCATGACAACTCATTAATCCACTCACTGGCATAATACGGTATACCAGTATCACTACACATTCACATGTTTTATTGCTTCCATGCACTTCCAGGTGACGAATTCTTCACAGGATGATTTCCAAAGACTACATGGACACGAGCATTTGCATCTTACATTTATGCTTTATTTGCGTTTTTATTATGTTTATTATGCTCTGATAATAATATGGATATACAATTATACGTACAATTTTGACTTAATAACACGAATTTCCATCAATGCACTACTAAACGATGATCTATACATAGCAAAAGGTGCCATCAAAAAAGAATAGTGGATTTCATTAAAAGCAAATTGTGTACAATGAATCTACAAAGTTCGTTTCTCACATCAAGCACTCTCATCAACCCAATTAAATAAAGGAAAAAATGGATAATGAACCTTATACATAACAACAAATACATTCCCACCCGACTAGAGCACATATCACAAAGATATACAAAAATAAACAAGCATGCACAACAAAGATTACTATCACCGCAAACCTATTATGGAGAAAAATACTGCTAATCATTGCCCAGCATCAATTGGGGCACCAGTCCTCGCTTGTGATATTCTGTTCGCATAAATGGTCACTAATCGCAATTGTGTGCTGTTCAGCCCTTCCAAATACGGTAGAAATGCTTTCCCAAGCATTATGTAGATGTCCACAAGACAGAAGACAACAGTCTGCCATACAGGAAAGAAACAGAGGTCATAATGGGAAACTACACGAAATTATCCAAACAAAATCGACAAAAGAAAGATGACTGTAGCCCCACTGCAGACGTCTTCCTTAAAGTGACACATCAAACTTCCTAATCTATTAAAACCATTTCCAACAGTTAGATGATGATTCCTACTTAAACGTGATATGTCAATCAGACTCTGCGTTCTATATACATGAATGTGTAGTACAGTACAGTACCACAGAGAAAAGCAGCCCATTTCCATTTCATTCGTCTATTTTGGTAGAAAAGATATTATCCTTATGGGAACCAAACACTAGTACTCTTGCAGGGATATATGCATTTCATGTGTTATGTGAACTAGATCAAACCTTCTTTGACAACATTAGTCTGTCAAAGATAATTAAGTTAATGCTTTAGCATATTTAATTTTTTCAATTGCATGATCAGACAATATATTAACAAAGCAAAATAAGCAATGCCATAAAATAAAACATTACCTTACGAACATCAGCACTCTGGTTACCAAAAGCTTCAAAAAGAGCAGGCAAAAAGGAAGGTAATTGTGCCATCAATTCCTCTTGTGACAGCCTCCCAACAAGCTGCAAAAAAGAAACAGGAGAACAAACAACACAGTTTAGACAAGAACAAGAAATGGGAGATGCGAAAGACAACCTGATTTCTGAAAACTAAATTTAAGTACCTTCGTCAAACAGTTTATGCAAGTGACAAGAGTTTTCTCATCTTCAGTAACCAGCAACGGAACAATTACCTGAAATCCAAGCCAAACAAAAAATGAAGACAGTGACACACACACACTGAAACAGAGAGAGCCTAGACTAAAACCCATCAAAGTTACGTGCATTTGAGAATTGTTACTTACACTTAAACATCTGAACGGGTCATAATTTGCCAAGACTATGGTTAAACAACACTCTGCTTCACTTGAAACCTAACAAGAGACTTTATCATCAGTTAAACTAAATATACATATGCATGACAACAAGCAGAAACGATGTTCAAGAGATCTAACCAGGATGCTTCTAATAGGAAGTGTGTTCAAATGTTAAAAGAAGACAGACGAAAAAGAAAAAAAAAAAAACAGATGTACCTTTGGAACAGAATCCTTTGTGACATGAAGCAGCTTCTCAATAACAATCTCAATGGAGTCCTCCATTGCATGTTTCTGCAAACAACACTCAACTTCAATCAGGACAAGTGGACATAGTCTACAAGGGAGCAAGTACAGACGGCAGTGGATTCCAGAACCCATGAAAGGAGAAAAACCAAACCTGATTCTTCAGCATTTCAATGATCAGTGAAAGAGCAAGTTCCCTGATTGAGGAATCAGAATCGTCCAAAACTTCAAGTATAACTGTCAAAATCTGATTGAAATACTGCAGCGCAACAAAAAATTATTTTAACAACCGAATCGCTGGTCTTAAAAGAATTAAATACAATCCATAAACCACTACTCCAGACTCCGATAACAATTTCAGAAGGCATAAAAGATAGAAAGACAATGTACTAAGAAGAAGATCTCTTTTATGTGCAAAAAGAACACAAGTCGGTCAAAATTACAGGGACGGGAACTCATATTTATTGGCAGAGTTGCCATTTCAAACTGACATCCTCTTCTAACACTAATGATACTCCACCTAGTGGGAAAAAGGCTTGTTGTTGTTGTTGTTTTTGTTGTAGAGTCAATTGATCTTTGGTATTCATTCAAATAAAAAATGTCGTGAGGCTGACCTTTGCAGACTATTAGTTCTCTCACATAAGTAACTCTCACACATCACCCAAGGACATCATCCATTAGTTCACCCTTCCTATTCCAAGTTGCATTAGCATCCTCGATGAATTTATTTCCTTCATACTCCCTATGTCCCAAAATGATTATCCAGTTGGATTTTCACTTTTAGTAAAATTTGAACTATCAATGAAAATCCAAACTCGACAATCATTTCGGGACAGAGGGAGTATATCTTACAGGGTCATGCTTATTTAGTCAAGAAGTCTCAAATTGCACTGATAACAAATTAACAACTCGATAATAATTTCAATATAGTGTCTTTTGTCTATCAAAAAAGCAAATATACCTTGCTCCAGATAGATTCATTGTTCGCAACAGAAACTTCAACTAACTGCTGAAGAGCATCGCGTTTGTTTGTTGGATTTCCATCATTCCCATTGCCAATCTATGACCGGATGAAAAGTTGAATATCAGTCAAACTTCAAAATTTGTACCCATTAAAATAAACATGTTTGAAATTTAACCTCCTCTTAAAAAGAAGATTCACGAAGCTGATTGGTGAATAGTTCCATAAGGCCAGAAATTACTCACAAGATGAAGGATTTGGGGAATGCTTGGTCCAGCTTCTGAAGCAGAGTTCGATGCCAGAACTGCAAGTTCGGGAGAATGCTGTACAAATTCATGTGAAAATCCATTATCTGTAGTCAGCGTGGCATTGTTGTGCTGATGGTTGACACCATTTAAAACATTGAGGTCCAAGCGCGGTGTCAGAGTAGCCTCCACATTGATACTGCTTTCCATGCTTCCTATCCGATCCCGGCTTGTCCATGAACCAATACTATTAGTAGTTGTATTTTCCATGTATTTCAGATCCTTGGCATTAGTAGTCAGATCAGTGTTGGGACCAGTTTCTGAACCATAAGAATTTACATGGATATCATCTGACATTTGATGTATGGATCCTGTGTTCGTTGCTGGCTCTTGAGTAGAACTCCATTTCCTGCCTCCATCGCTGTCTATTGAACCTGAAGAATACCTTCCAAATAAAGGAACCTTCTTTGATCCACCAATATATCCCTCTTCAGATGATGTTCCAACAACATCAGAAGGATCATAAGAAGATTTAGCACGTCTCTCTTTCTTGCTCTGAAGAAAATTCATTAAGTCTACCTCTATACGTGGTGTGTACTGTTTAAGAGCTCTTCTCAAAGAATTTTGTTCTTCAACTGATAAACTAAGAATATAATTTAAGACTGCTACTGAATCAAAATGGGTGTACACAGAAATGATACATGTAATTGCTGCTTCCTTCAGTTTGGTATTCTTATCATGCACCAATGGTGTCAATTTTGAAAGCCATAACTTAAGTATGCCAAAATTACCAGAACCTTCATAATTAGAAGCATGCTTGTTGAACGAACCAATCGCAAACTCAATAACCGCCAGTTTAGCTTTTGGAGAACGTTGTTCGTCCAACGAGCGGAGCAAAGCTGGTAAAAGGGAGTCTATACCATACGTCTTGCTAACAGTATCCAATGTAGTTGAGCAAGGTTGTCTCACCAATTCCTTTGGATCAATTAACCTAGAGAAAACATGAGGTAGTATTCTCTCAATGTAACTTTCGAAGGGCTTCCTGCAAGCAGGAATAAGGTCAGCGAGCGTTGAAAGAGCAGCCTGTGCAACTTTATGGTGAGGATCATCCAGATGCTGGAAAAACAATTTCATAACTTTCTCGAAACTCTGTAAAATTTCTTGAATACCACGTGAACCTTGCTGTAATAGAGTTCGAAGATAATTGAATGCAGCAACCCGTGCATTCCAATCAGAGCTTGAGCTAAGCCCTTCACTTAGTGCCTCATTTAGTGATGTAGGACCTTCCACATAGGTAGACATGTCCCCAAGGGGAAGCTGGCTATCATCAAAACTCCTTCTCCTGCCAGCAGACATCCGTCCAGCTACATTCTTCCTCAAAAGGGGTTTTTGAAAATTGGGAATGTAATTACCATGGGAATCCCTAGAGCTACCATCACGGTAAGGTGTGTCATTATAGTGTCTTTCTGCATGGGAGCTCATATATCGCCTAGGTTCCCGAAAATCTGCATGGTCATCCATTAAACTTGTCTCTTGTAGTTTATCAGATCTCTTGGCAGAATAGGATGAAATCACTGACAACGGCTCATTTCCTGCACTGCTTCGATATGACATTCTACCTGAGTCTCTGGAAGCTTGAATCTGAGAAATAATGTCTGACATACCCAAGCCACCATTGTGGTTGTTAACTTTAGCAATACTGGATGGGGTATCCAGTGATAAGGAGGATGCAAGACTATTTGAAGCAGGAGGAAATGGCGGATCCCTAGATGATGGTGGGTCAACTCCTGCACTAGGGGCAATGACAGAAAAGTTAGGAAAGATTTAAACAATCTCCACAAAGATTACCGCATCCTATTGACAAAAATCATTGATGGTGAAGCAACATTGCTTTTCAGTAAAATTAAAGGAGCCAAGAAATAAATACCTAGGTCCAAACTAGATGATCTGCTCTTCTCAGATAAATTCAGTCCTCTAAGCATACTTTCAATGGCCGAAACTTTTTCTTTGCTAGCATTCAGAACACTTTCAAGGGTACGTTCTGCTCCTTTTGGTGCAGATTTAGCTTGCGATAGAAGCAGACCAGACGACAGAGAAGCCCCCGAGGACAAGCTGGCACTTCGGTCCATTGCCACTATGGCAGAAGTTCCATAACCAGGCAAGGAGGGGGTAGATGTGTGAGAAGGAAAGGGCATGGAGGAGCTCCTGTCACGAACAGAAGGAGAAGCATGACGCCTATGGATGCCACCATCCTCATCATTAATTATCTGCGCATTAAATAATAATAAAGTCAAAATCAGCACGAATCTAGAATCCAGATGCTACTTTCACCTTTCTAATTTTAAGAAAGATTAAACTCACGAAACAGAAGACCATACCCTTTGTATAACAGGATCAAAGGTCATAAACAGGCGACGTGAACGGTCAGGCCAAGTTTTTGCAAACATTCTGTAACAAGTTCTTGCAGTTGACCTAACCTGTTGGTTTCCATAAGCAATGAATAATTTATGCAGCCACATACAGAAATTACAGGACAGAAACAACATCTAAACAATAGGATATAACTAACTGTTTCGCTACTCATTCACGAGAACTAAAGATAGAATGGGTTGGAGAAGATCTAGACCTCACTCATCGCGTCTGCTACACAACATTTTATAAGGTCCTCGTACACTTCAGCAGAACGCTGTATTTCAGGAGCATCAGCCCAATATTCTAGTATGAGAAGCGCATATTCACAACACCTGGTACAGCAAGAGAATACTATAAGCTTACAGAACCCAAACTAAACCACAATTAGGAGCGTAAGCTGAATCAACCTCGCACGAAGAACCGCATTCCGGTCATTTTTTGCAGCATCAGCTATGCGAGGAAGCACACGGGAGACTTTGCAATTCCGCAACATCTGTTAAAGAAAATTTTACAAGTCAAAACACAAAGAATGAGAATTATTTTTTGAGACTATCCAGTAACACTTGAAGAGGATGAATCAAATATTTCAAGGTTCATTCACCTCTGGACATGGCCAATCATGAATTAAGAATTATTAAAACCACATGTCCAAAAAAGGAACAAGAAGAGCTTACTGTTTTTATGCAGTTATCGGCAGATTCTGCTATTACAAGTACTGTTATCACAACAAGCTTGAAAAGTACCTGAAATGCCATCATGACAAATGAAATATGTTTGCAGTAGATAATACCACATTAATCACGTTATATAAAGACTCTTACCGGAATGAACAACTCTGCACAAGCCTCAAAATCTCCCAAAAGCTCTTTCGATAAGAAACATAATAGATGGCACGCCTAAAATGGAGACCAAAATTGCAACATAAGCTACAGTTCTTCATTGCATAGCACATAAATAATAGACTGAACTTCGATAATTAAGATTTGATTCATCAATTAGCATACCCCAGAAACCCATATATAATCATAAAAACTGTAGCCAGCAATTTAGTTAATTAAAAACTGTAGGCCCGTATTCTTGTTTCAAAAAAAAAAAACCAAGACCTATGCTGAAGCAATTTACCCCACCAAGAACTAGAAATACAAGGCTAACTGCATATTATAGTGCAATAAACATACATCATAATACATCACTCCTGGTTCCTCCACTTTCTTTTTTAAAAAGCATTCTACATTTTGCAACTTACCAAATATAGCAACATTACCAAAAAAAAATTAAGAAATAAAATTGTATGACAGTAGTTAATTTATGCACAAAACCTGTTTCACTATGCTAGATCTGCGATCAGATAATTGAGTGCTTAGGGGCCCCACTAGTTGCTTTAGAAGTGCACGAAAAGAAGGATAATCAGTGGCACCTGAAAAATGAGATGAACATCAGAAGGAGATCCAAATCCTCCTCTGAAAGAAAAACAAAATTATCAAGCCAAAAATCCGCATTGTGTAGATAAAGTCAGAAAGTAACCATTTCTATTTATGACACTTTATACAGTTATCATCTTCTCAGAAAGAACACAAATACAGTGAACATACATTGAGACATGTCAAAATCATAGACCACCTCAGTGGCCTGTAAGCAAATGATACAAGCATCCTTCGGACACAGGCAAACTAAAGCTGCTTTCCGGAATGTGAAGCTGGCATTGTCAAGACTCTCATAGAAACCCCTAAAACCACATACAGATGCATTAATATACCAACAGCCTATGTTTCCAACTGACTGGACCGAAGGAGTTCAGCACCACTTCTTCATACATAATATGTTCTGCCCATAAAGTTTCTTCGTGAGCCAAGATTTTTTATGCCTTTCAAGGGAAAATAATGACCAGATACCAGTTTGAACCTCTTAAAAGTAACAATCTGTTTAAGAACCCCACGTTCCAAGCACAACATAACAATCTGTTTAAGAACCCCACTTTCCAAGCACAACATGCTTTCTCACTTTCAGCAAGCAGAAATTTTAATAGTCTCTCACTAAAGAAGAAAAAGTCAATAACAATATACCACCGCAAATGCAACATATAAGTTGAAATTGATGATTTTTTCGGAAGACTTTTATCACTCGTAGAAATTATAGAGAATATGAATAAGAAATGAACTGCAAACCTCCAATAACAAGAGCTTCAACTCTTTGCATAGCAGCGATACGGATGGACCAGTCTTTATCTGGCACAAGAGTACCAGCAATCTTCTCAAATTCTCTAACCAATTCCTTCTCTGAGTAAACCTTAATTGGCTCCACAGGTTTCTCCGTTATATCACCATCTCCTAAATAAATTAACAGATGCCAAAATTAGAGTTTCATTTCTTAAGGTAAACCACGTACACCCTTCTATTCCTACTATTTCTACCAACTAGTCCCGACTTCATAACAGGAGAGGCTGAAAAAAGTTAAGATTGAACTAAGATAATATAAAACTAAACATCATCTTGGAATATACAAAAGAAATTGTCTAAGGTCTAAGACACCAAGGACCAAGGTATGTCTAAATGAATGGTCTTTTCCTACATTTTTGCAACCCAACTAATATGTGACTTCATTGAGGAGCTCTCAGTCATCAACAAAAGAATAAATGAGACAAATGTGTCAAACTAAGGTTTAAGGTAGACAAAATTATAGCAACTCTACAAAATGTATATCTATGTAAACCAATTAAAAGCAAGCTACCCAGTAACATCAAATATGCACTAACCTCCAAAGAGAGATACCTCACGTGTTGAACTTCTGGCCTTAGGACTGCTTTTCTTTGCATTAAGAGGTTTCATCTCACTAGCCGAAAAATTATTCACAGGCCCTTCAGATGGGCGTGCTTTTGGTATGATTTTCTCTAATCTCGCATTGATATCTCTTACCTACAATTACAAAAGATAATATAACATGATTTCTTTCATATCCAAATTCCTGATAAGAGTTTATTAAAATTAAAAGGAGAATAAGGATGAAAAAGAACATTCAAAGTAGCAGTAGGTCCTTTAACTAAAAAGGTAGAGGCTTCACCGGCCAAAAGAAGCAACAGTGTTCAAATTAATTAAAAAAGCTTTTCAAGTCAAACAATACCATTGTAGCAGAAAGACTATGTCTTTGAAGTTCATCTCGAAACTGAGCCCCAGCATGATTATACATCTCCTGTAAGAACAAATATTAAGATGTGTGATACTTAATCCCAACCAAAAAAATAAAATGCTAAAAATATCAGTATAGGAACTGAACCAAAATGGAAGTTGAATTCACTCACCTCAATACATGAAATGGCTGCATCCCTAACAGCAGGGTTTGGATCATTCAACATCTGCAAGATCTGAAAGAGGAGATTGGTTAAGTGTGGAATTTCTAGAGTCATGAGAACTTGTTTAGTTGCAGAGAATTATGTAAATGACTGTGAAGTTGTAAGAGGCGTGAACTATGCATTCAAGCCATTGCATACAGGAGGAAGAATAGCTCGCTGAAGAGGAAGCTCAGTTGATGCAAAAAGACCAATTGCTGAAGTGACTGTACGTGCAAATTCTTCTCGAACCCTCCAGCTCTTATGTGCCCAAGCATATGAACCTGCTCTTTCCACAATAATTGTCGGCGAAGAAACCTGTTCCGTAGCTAATCATTAAACATTCTTTTCTTCTCTCAAAGTCTCCAAAACAATATAGAGCAAGAAACAAATTGTAATATCGAATGCACTATATAATAAGTAGGGGGAAAAAAAAATTTATGGCACAAAGTGGAATGAAACCAAACTTATGACCATTTTATTTTGATAGACGGTATAGAACATGCAGGTGAGCATGCGGCTTGTAGAGAAATCACAATGCATTTACGAAATATAATTTATTCTAGGAGTCTTTGCTGTTGCATAATCATAAAAATGAAATCAGACATCTTCTCAAACAAAGAACAACCAGGAAAAAGAAAAGGAAAAACATAGAAGAAAAAAACATGATGAATCAAATTTATTTCTAAAACTATCCCAGCAACTCCATACAAGTACGATAATATGAGTATAGTACGTTCCCATTTTAAATCTTATACAAAGTAGAACAAAAAACTGATTTTCAGAAGTGTCAATATCACTTAATTAACAAAATCTATCACAGATCATCGGGTCCTCACAATATGACTTAGCATCCATGTCTGGGAGAAAAACAACACTTCTTTAATATTTCCTTTTCCGGTACATATCTCAAAAGGATAATGAGTATCAAAGGCTTCTATATTACTCCATATCAGATTTGACTGACATAATGGATCAACTAACCCCCTCCCCCTACGAAAGAGTAATGCACTAGTTTCTTCTAAACCTCAGCTACATTGAACTACTTGTAAACGTAGTTAGTATACGAAAATTCATCCGGTACCTGTTAATTCATCAATTCAAGTTTCAATAAGGTAAAACTGCGGAATTCGATAACTTCAGTCTCCCCTAAATCAAGCCATTACCTCAAGTGCCAGGATATCAGGCAATTTGAATAAATTAATTAAAGGAATACAGCACTTCACAGCCATTACCTCCATCAGAGTAAGCAACAGCCTGCGGGCGGCATCCCGGACGGGTTGTTTAGCATCCCCGAGCCTCTCAACCACGGCGGGAACTAAACCATTGAAATGGAGCTTCAAATGCTCGCCGGAAAGAACAGCGGCGGAAGCCAGGGATTGAAGAGCACCTTGGGAAACCCTAAAATTGGCATCTTTGAGGAGATCCAAGCAAGTATCTACAAGAGAAGTGACCTCCGCCGACGACAAACTCTTCCTAGAGGTTTCCAGAAACTCATGGAGCCTCTCCACACCCGCCATTCTCTCCTTAGTGTCCTTAGCACGCGCCAGTTCCAGCGCGTCCTCCATTTCAAATCAATTTTTTAAAGTCACTCCGGCACAGGGCAACACCGATCTGGTACGGTGGCAAGGATCAGATCTGGGTGGGAATGAGAAACAAAAAAGGAATTTCAAGTAAATGAGAATCGGGGTTGGAGAAGACAGTGAAATTCCTATAAAGTGAGTGTTTTAGTGTGTAGTGCGTGTTTAAAAAAAAATAAATTTGAGTTGGGAAAAAAAAAAATGGAGGGGTTTTGCTAGGTTGACGGTGAGAGTGGATGAAGCAGTGAAGTTGGCTTATCTGTCAATGTTGTTGGGAGAAGTTTTAAGCAAGAAAAAAGCTTTTACTACAATCGAAAGAGAAGAACAGTAATCAAAGTGTTTAAGGAGTTCTAATATTATTTGTCGTAATTACGCTACTGTATTTCGGCGGTATTTGTTATAGTGACAGCCCGGTGACCTCGTTTCGGCGGGCCCTTTCAAAGATTAAAATTAAAATTTAACGTCTTTTTTTCCCTTTTCAAAAAATAAGAGCACTTTTTATTTACTCCTATTTTCCGATAAAAATATAGCATTTCAAAAAATGTGGGATTGAATTTATTTTCTAATTCCTTAATCCAGGGGTAAAGGATCTCAACATTTTGAAAGAAGAAAAAACATTAGTTAGCACCACAGGTTTCAAACAAACTCTTTGTTGTTATTACAATAATTTACTAGGTTCTCTCTCCTTGGTTGCATGAATATCTTAAAATATATTGTTAAAAAAATTATTAGTTGTGAAAAAATGCTATATACTCGATCGATAGTTGATTGTGAAATATAATATAATGAAAATTAGGTAATACAAAAAATAAGTCAACAGTAAAAATTAAATTAAAAAAGACGAGGTGAAAATGAGGTAGTAACAATATTATTATAATTTAAATTTCTTTCAGTTTGAATAAAAGAAAAATATTTTGCCCACATTTTAAGAGGAGTCCGTTAAAATTTGACTGAAATAAGAATGTCTTATTTGGATTATTTTTCGTAATTTTACCATAAAATTTCAACAATTTTTTCAATCTTAAATGACGTCTTCTTTTTCATTTGTTGAATTAAAACGCATAAATAAAATTTCTTTCTCTAACATAAAAACGAATTGATTTCTGTATACATTTCTAATAGAAGCTTGTTTTTATGTATAGTTAAAGTTTATCCATGACCTAAGTTTGACTTAATATGTTTGAGAAGAAAAACTTTTAATCGCAACGTAATATCTCATCATTTTTTCTTCTTTTGGACATACTTTTCATTAGGATATACTGTATATTCATCATATTCATCCCATCTCGAAATTGTTATCCATTTTTTTTTTATTTTTAGTTCAATTTTATGCTAAAAGTAAAAATCCAAATTGGACAATAATTTTGGACAAAAAAGAGTATTGTTATAACAGTCACTTTTTCAAACACATTTTTTGTATTACAAATGAAAATACAAACTGGACAATAATTTTTGAACGAATAGAGTATTATTTATAACAGCCACTTCTCAAAACATATGAAATATTTTTATATAGTGTTGTTCGGTAAATTGGTGACGTGTGAAATTTTTCTAACATTTTTCTCAAACGTCCATGTTTATAGTAGACGGAGAGTAATTCAGTAATTCTGTTTGGACCGTGTTCCGTTTGGTTTTTGGATCATTAATATTACAAAAACAAAAATGATGGGAAACTTCAAAATGCAAATTGCAGCATTTTTAGTCAGTTGACAAGAAGTGCTACCTAATTTAGCAATCAAAATAATCAGTTATTACGTCTTTCAGCTTTGATCGGCCATCACGATTTTTATTTTTTTTTAATTGGTTGAAATTGTGGTGGTGCCATTGCCATCCAATCCACGAGAAATGATGAATCATCTGATTCAGTTTGTAATTGATTAATACTGTTAAATAAGAACACTAACTTAGTGACAAAGCCAAGCTACCAAACCTCCGGTTGGAGACGCATCTCTTGCAATAAATAAATAAATAAAATGGTATCCGGATGCAATTAACAGAACGAAAAGTGTGTAATCTTCTGATTAAAATAAAGCGAAAAAGGGTAAAGAAATATTAGGCTGGATACTGCGGGAAAAAAAAGGCGTATTAATGTATAGTGATTAAGAAGGGATGATGAGCTTTACAGGTTGGCATTGCTGGTGGTTCCAATGAGTTTTTGCATCAAGATTTGCATCCATTGGCACGGTTGACGATCTATGTTATCCCACTAATATAAGTCTTTGTAGTTCATTCTAGAAATCATAAGTTCCTTTCATTTTTATCTCGTTTTGAAATGTCCAGACATAACTAAATGATAGCAATTTAATACGATACTTCTTCCGTCCTATAATTATTGTCCAATTTGAATTTTTATTTATAGTTCAATTTGTACTAAAAGTAAAATCTCAAATTGAATAATAATTTTATTACAGAGGAAATACTGAAAGAATTAAGTTATACATAAAAGAATAACCAACAACATAGTTTTCGAGGTAATAAAACTAATATATTTATGAGCTCAAATTCCAAATAAATTACTACTCACTAAGTTACCATAAACTGTGATTGGTAACAATTAAGGATAAGTCTTTTTTTTTTACATGATTAAGTGTCCTGTCACATTGTAATTTTTGGGAAGAACATGGTATCTCTTAGCAGTGTTATCTTCACACACTGATATTTGATACGTTAGCAACTTTTCAAACTTATAGGTAAAATAACCGTAATGCTATTAGGATAATAACATATGCATCACTATTGACTTGATTGTTGTAACACGACAAAAGCAACTGGTCCAGGGCTATTAAGTTATGAACTAATACGCGATGATTGCTACAATGCATTACTATTATCCTTGAATTAGACAGAGATTGTTTGATTATTATCCTTATCGCCATTAAACCAATCAAATCAAAACGTTTCCCGTGCTTCCAGCATTATTCCGATGAGGGAGAACCAAAAAAAAAAAAAAAGAGTCCCTCACTGGTTGTTGTTCCCGACATTCTTTTTAGTGGCCTTTTTTATTAATCTATCTTCCATCTCTCTGTTTATCAGCTACAGCCGACAAGTTACTTGTTTAACGTCCTAAACTAACAACTAATCACTATTATATTCTCGGCATCCCAGTCTGACCGACAACTGTATTACTTGCGAAATGTTGACCCGTGGGCTTCTAATACTTTGACCGAGTTCCTTAACGTTTTTTTCTTTTTTGTGTTGGGCTCCGAAGAGAAAGGAAGCCCAATTATGTTGTGTGCTTTCAGTTGTCACTATTCTTGCAGCTGTAGCATGGCTGATTCATTATAACAAGCTAGTATCTCTATCTCAAATATTAGTCTTTGTTGAGTTTTGTATAGTATAAATTTCAAAAATTACTACAAACTATTTTTTAGAGACAGAAAGAGTATTAATTTTCTGCGTGGAATACTGGAATTTGAATACGAAATGAGTCATGATGATGATGTAGAATGATTTTAAGTCAATGTTCAGCTCTTTCTTAAACATGACTCATGTTCAAGCAGTGAAAAGGCGATCGTTTACTAGTGGAGGTTCTCATACATTCTTAGTATACTCTATGAAACTTAAACAATTGTTTGTTATAGATTTGTGACATCATTTTCTCGGATCAAGTTTAAATAAACAGAATTACGACATTGTTCCGATAGGAGACTGTCCGACGGGCCATTATTTATGTTGGGTCAACGATACACTCCTAGACCCAGAAAAACAAAAAATGTTAGACAAACTAGACTGTTTGACAAAATTCACGTCCATGATAGTTACAACTTACAAATGTAGCCATTGGAATAAAACTTAAACAAAACTTCACTCTTTCGGAGAGGGATAGATTAATTGAGCAGACAATTGCAATATAAAAACTCAGTCCACTTTTGGAGCTAAGCTAAAAGACAAGTTTCAATCTATATGCCTATTTGACAGTACCATAATATAATTGGCATCCCGAATTTTTCAAAGGAGTAAGCAATACTACATTTTGAAAGTGCTTCATTTAACATTCAAAAGGAAAACAAAAAACTAGTTTGAGTAAATATCAAATGTTGGAGTCTAGAGCCATGATGGTGCTCAGGTTCATCGGGTTCATGTATTCGGTGCTTCCAGAGACGATGGTCTGGACAATGATCTTGTTAGCGCGTTCTGTGGGGTGAAACGGATCCCAAAATGCGTAAACATCTCTATTGGGACAAAGGTTTGATGCAATTGTGCATACTCCTAGTCCATTGTATGGTCCTTGTCCACAACATGCTTGTTTTGAAGTAATAAAACCTGTCCGGCCCCCAAAAGTAAAAAGAGTGACGATACTAATAAGTGAGACAGATAACGTCTTATAAGTAAAAGAACGGATTAAGAAATGTGAAAAATTGCGACGCACCAAAGGCTTGGGGACTGGTGATGAAATTTTTCTGCATTTGGTTAGCATTGGCAGCGATGAACACGTCGGATCCAATATCTTGGTTGAGGCTTCGTATCATTTGGATGAGAAGCGGATTGAAAATCGACGCGGCTTTTTGAGGCAGAGGAGCACATTCCCCGTTTCTACTTCCCGATTGGGCTAATGAAGCCGGAACGCAACCAATTGGTCCCGTACCCGTCACCAGCACTCTACGAGCTCCCAATTCATACAATCTCTGCACATTTTATTTTATTTTTTTACCATAAGTTAATGTTAGATTAAAAAAAACAAAAGGGATTGATTTAAATGATGAAAAAGTACGAAAAAATTAATTACCTCAAGGATCTTGCGGTATTCAGTGATGAGCAGAACGGAGAAATCCTCAAGACTATACTGAAATCTTCTTCCGGTTAGGGGCGGATTCAAGAAATAGTTGTTCACGTAGTCATTTCCGCCTAGTACGATTAGGACCAAGGCTTGGTTGACCAGCCTCTGGGTTCCCGCTGGACCAATAATTGCACTCACTCGCTGCTGATACTGAGCAAAGAACTCCAATTGCTGGTTTATTCTTATTATGTTTGCCTGATATTGAAAAAAGTCAGCAAACCAGAATTCCCAACAAGGTTAATTTAAAAAAGGACCGTTACACTCGCATCGCAAAAAAATACTCATTCTGTCCCAAAATTATTGTTCAGTTTAAAATATCATTTTTAGTACAATTTGAATTAAAAATGAAAACCCAAACTGGACAATAATTATGGGACGGACAGAGTAGTCTTCTTTGTTGTATCGGAATAAAGTGAAGACTATAATATGGCAGATAAAGTAATATGCAACTACTAATCCAACAACTTAAAGGGACTTTACTAAAAACACTTTTTTAAGTCCCCCAGGACAGAGTTAATTATAGTGGACCATAGGTAGGTTTTTTTTTTTTTTTTTTTGGGGTAAAAGACCATAGGTAGTTAGATAAGGATCTCTTGTTTCATACTCCCTCCGTCCCATAATTATTGTCCACTTTGCCCAAAATATTTTGTCCCAAAATTATTGTCCAATTTGACTTTTTAAGGATCAAGTTACACATTTGTCCTTAGTAAAAAACATTATCCATAAAATCTTAGTGGTTACAATTACTTATGTAGGGGTATATCCGGTTGTTTAAGGTAAAATATAGTTAAGTTTGACCAAAAATAAATATTTCATTTTAGTAAAACTGGACAATAATTATGGGACGGAGGGAGTATTTTGTTTTTTATTGTGTCATTTGCCCGTCATTTTCTTAATGTTACACCATTTATATAAGATCCATCATCACTAAGCTAGCTACTAATTAGTTGTTATATATCATACAAATAATCTCGTTCTATTAACAATATTTCAGTGAGACAAGACAAGTGATCAGATTTCGTAAACCCAAGCATTTTTAGTGTGGTTGATGTTGAGGTGATCATAAATGTGAACACTTACAAATTGGATCCCTGTATCGTTGAGAATTCCAATTCCAGCAGAAGCGAAATTCGCACCAACTAGTAGTCTTTGACCAGTGAGCTCCGGATTTAAGTACGCCAATGTAGATTCTGCCCCAAGTGCTTGGCCTAAATATACACAAACATCATACGTTACATAATTGAATGGTAGCAATAAGGCATAATACATTATTTACAGCAAAATATGAAGGATATAATGAAGATTTTACTTATAAGATCAGGGATGTTGTAGCCATTTGAAAACCGGCCGGTCGGGCGATGAGTTGGGTAATCAATGCCATACGGTGGAGAATCCGCCCGCGCGGTGGTGGCTAAGTAGTTGTTGTTGCCATTGTCAACAAGGGAGTCGCCGAACACGAAAAAAGCACGAGCTCCCTCAGCCTGATGTGGTAGTGACGTGAAGACAGTTGATAACACCATTGCTAGAGTAATGGCAGCATTCTTGACTAAAAATTGGCTCGACATTGTTGGAAGTAATACCACAATGTTGTTCAAAATTAGTGCAAAATTTTCACACTACATATATAATATGTCAAGTAAGTTAAAAGAGAAGTGAATGCAATTTGAGAAAGATGAGGAAGTGCATGTGAGCTTTATAATGCAAGAGAAAGTGCAACTTTGTGTAGCAATTAATTTTAAGAGTTTGTTGGAATGCCCAATAAATGGCCGGTCTCCTCTAAAACTTTGAGTGAAAGCTGGGGCCGATTAAAAAAGCTGTGAATCCAAAGAAGCCGATGACCATTTCTTCGATTACAGTACATATGATCACTTGTTCGTGCGTAGAAGAAAAACCCTAATTTATTGTGTATTTTTAGTGTACAAAACTTTACTATACTTAGACTACTCACTTCACCTGTCATAACAAATACAATAAGTGAATTATTAAAGTAAGACAAGAAAGAGCACGATTTTTTCCCCCTTTTTACCTATTTTCAGTTTATCCCATCCAACACAAAAAGAAAGAAAGTGGACACAAAAAAATAAATTTTCTAGCCTCGATCGTTTCACAATCACAAATCTCATTTAGGGTGAGTATAGTGTTTGTTTTTTCAAAAAAGTTATTACTACCTTCTTCATTGTATCTAAAAAGAAATTAAATGTCAATGAATCATCTTTGCTTCCCCATGCCCCACTCCATTTTAGTGTGTGAGTTTTTAAATATTTTTTGTATTACAAATATGAGAAGATGTATTGAAAATGTAGGAAGATATATTAAGATGTGATATGCATTAACAAATTAATCTGAAAAAAACCATAAAAAAGGAAACAAATTAACATAGAGTGTTTGGTCACTACCTAGAGCTAACTTTTTCATTATAGTATTGCCAAAAGAGGGCAGTGGCCTCTTTGGGGTTTCGATTCTTGTGAATAAAATGATACAACCTAACTGATTTTGGTTCATACAGATCGATGAATAACGTATTAGTAGATAGTGACCCTAGCCAGCAAATTAGATCAAGTTCACAATATGGTCGATATATATGGTGTTATTTATTTGAGAGATCTGCGCAATATTTCACTATCATGCTATCCTGGATCACCACATGCTTCACAAATCACAAAATCAACCAATCTGTCTATCGAGGAAATAGTAATGTATTTTATTCGTCAAAGTCGCTCATTGAGCAAAAAAAAAAAAAAAAAAAAGTTACAATGATGAGTTATGAAGTGTAACTCAGGAAGTGTGCTTCTCAAGTCTCCGCAACCGTTGATTAATGGAATTATTGCCGTACTGGGGGAAAACCCGCAACCCAAAAATTAGGTCATGCGACAATTTTCAACAGAAGTAGCGGCTATCTATGTAGTTTTACGTACTATGTCGGAGTAGGACTATATTTTTCAACAGAAAGACGAGTAGTACATGTAAAGTTGTAAACCACAGTAATCATATAAATTATGACGTTCAGTTGAATTAATTTTCTTCCAGACAATACCTAAGAATCAATATTTTGAAATTATTTAGATATTTTAACCGAATAGAGCTTACTACAATGAGATATAAAAAGAGATTTTATTCGCGTTAACTTTTTGTTCAGTGTGTTTGATCATTCACGATTAGATTGTAGAAGACAAATCACGTGCCTTCTTAATAAGTCAGACGAATTACTGTCTATTATCTAGTAGTTGTTTCGTTATGCACACATTAGTGATAAGAATCTATACTTAATCTTGAGATTGAGCATACAACGTCCTGACATACAGGCATGCACGAGTCGATTCTTCTGTTGTATTTGTAGCAAGCTAATTCGACCATCCTTAGTTATTTCTTTTGCTTTGTGAGTCCAGCTATATATGCTTTTTGAAGGGGCATCAAGCCGTCAACATCTGCATGATTGACCTTCACATGCATTTGGACTTTGCGAAAATTGAAGGGCCGACAGTACATTAGAGGTCTCTTTTCCAAATGGATCCAACACTCCAACTAGTTTTACACTTTGAAATCCACCATTAAACCTGATTTCAAGCTTTAAATGCTGGGTTCACCTTTTAGGTTGCGAGTTGTGACTAGTGCCCTACGTATTCTTCTGGGCCTTTGCTGCACTAAATGCATCATTATCATCATCAACATCTTTTATGAGAGCTTTTCATATGTAGAGTATATACATAACCACGTCTTCTTGCAAAGGCAAACCTACCTGTTTCCAGTTGCCACTTATCCTGATTACTTGTCTACTTCCTTTCTCTTAATTCCCTCTTTTCTAAGAATGAACAATAGAGCCCAATAAGAACTTAGTATAGTTAGATTTTTTATAAGATCTTTAACAAATCCTAAACCTGATAAGGTTTTAAACATATATCAAGAGATTCGGACAAACGTGAGGTTTGAACATAACATAAAATGTGAGAATTACTCAATATTAACTATTTTTTTGAGACAGTTTGGGTATAATATAACATATTATATTGATGTCATGCCTTTCATTTTTTGTGATGAGACAATGATACTTAATTGGATTAGGTTGAAGAACTTCTGTTCATGCAGCGTTTCAAGTCAGCAGATATGCCACACAATTAGGTGAGAAATCAAGTGAGTTATACGGGTAATCCATTTTCTTTTTTCCCAAAAGGCACCTTCTTTTGCAGGCTATTCAATTCCTCCTTAGGTGCGTACAACAAAATTGGGGTTTAAATATGGTCACTTATTAGGGCCCGATCGAAATGGCACCTACAAAGCTATCGTACATATTGTAACCTTTTCCTTTTCCATTTTAATGTCAAGTCATATAGAGTAGTTCACTTTTAATAAAATAGAATTAATGTCCGGATGATCGATATTGCCATTTTCATTATTTTGTATGGACACTCAATTTGGTCAGGTACAATTGTCATGGCCTCAACAGCATACAAAACTGGAATGACCTAATTGATTGGAAGAATTAAACTAAAAGCCAGGTTTTTTGGAAGGTGGAGAATCAAGTTTAAAAAGTTCTTGAACAATCTTCTTTTTAAATAAAGCTCCACAGCTTGTTTCTACGTCTTTGCCATTATCTCAATCTCTCGGACTGTATATAAGTACACTAGACAATTGAGTTAAAAAAATAAAAATAAAAATAGTTATTTACATGGACGGTAGAATATTTTTTGACACAAATTACCACTTTTGCTTGTAGATTTGATGTCAAAATCAAAGTCTATTCCTACTTGATTTTTACTTGCATGCAAAATAAAAAAAAAAAAAAATGATCCTACCATAGCCGATTGATGAATGATATATTTACAGCCCTTTTCCTTGGTACTTTTCAAATATTTACTGTCCTTTTCCTTAAAGAAAAATTTACGGTCTTTTTTAGTTTAAGGAGGAATACTAATAACAATTTCTTTTACTTTTACCGTAACGAAAGAAGGAACGAAGGGAAAAACAAAAAAAAAAATTCTCGTGCTCCGAGTTCAAATCAAATCTCAATTATTTTAGGGTTTATCTGCATCTCGATTTCTGCAAAAAGAAAAAAAATTTGCATCAAAATCAAATTTCAGAATTAGCGGGGGGACACAAAAGCAGAAAAGATGACGAGGCAGGCAACATGTTGTCAGTCATTCCTGGCATCCATACTGAAATTCTTGAATTATTTGCAGACGTTTATGGGGGTTTCCATCTTCATTTACTCTGCCTTCATGCTCAACCATTGGCACCACCACAGCTCCGCCCCTTCTGTCCCGCCTCCCCGGCCTCAACCTCTGCCCGCACCTCCGTCCCCGCTGTATTTACATCCTTCCTCCATAATTCGCCCAAATTCTAAGAGCTTTGGTGACGTCACTCCCCTCAATCTTGATCTCGATCTTAGTTTAGCTGCGGAGAACGTCTTCTCGGATGTGGTTCTTATTGATGGAGTTCAATTCAACTTTCAATCCCTTCCCACGCCATGGTATTTTTTTTTCTTCCTTTTTTTTTTTGAATTTCATTTATATGCTAATTCGGGGTCATTTTAATCCGTGTTTTGAATTTTAAGAAAAATCTATTCTACTCTGAGATTATGTTCCACGATTTTAATGAGTTTTTAGCAGATGACAGGTTAATTTTGGAGTGATTTTGACGAGGTTTTCCTGATAATAAGAGCGTTTTTCTTGGGCAGGTTCATATATGCATTTATGGGAGTTGGCGTGATGGTGTGTTTTATCAATTGCATTGGTCACATTGCAGCTGAAGCTATGAATGGCTGTTGCCTTTGCTTCGTATCCTTTTTGTTACTTTTTTGTTTTTTTCATTTTAAACTGTTCAAGTCATTTGTGCTCCTCACTTTACATAAATTTTTCGTCTGGTACAATAGTATGTTAGATCCATGGTGCTTATGCTTGCTCAAATATGGTACTCTTGGTTTATGTGATGTGGAATGGTTGAATCAAATGTCTCCTTTGTGGGGCAGAAAATTGGGTTACTATTTTTTGGACTACCTTTTCTGCAGTTGAGGGGGGATAGTGCTGGCTTTCTGAAATTAAGCCTTGATAGTCTTCATGTAACTTAACCATAGAAACCTTTTTTCTTCAGTTTAGTAAGAAAGGAAAAAACTTACGAAATGATGGTCCCATTTCTTCACTGAGGATATGATCACAAAGGAATGAGAAAGTAAAAAGAACAACGTTATTCTGTTTCTTTCCTAAAGGGATATCGGTACTAAGATTTGAACTTGACACAGAGTGCATTTTTCTTTATGTTTAATGTGAAGGTTATGCAAGGTTCATCTACGTTTGTTGGTTAATCTAAGTAAAGGAATTAAACTTATATTTTTTTTCATCATTTTTTTGAAATGCCTTAACGAAAGAAAATTAACAGCATGCTGTATTGACAACATTATTTGTCCTACTGGAAATCACCTTCATAGGATTTATTGCAGTGGATCGTCAGTGGGAGGAGGTAAATTTGACACTAGTTCCTTTCGGCTGGTTTGTTAGGCCATTGTGGATTTCTTAGCTATTCATTAGTTTTTCAGGATCTCCCTGTTGACACTACTGGAGAACTTGATCGTTTGCGTTCCTTCTTTGAAGAGAACAGAGAAATTTGTGAGGGCGTCTGCATTGCTGTCATTGTGATTCAGGTATGAATTAATTGAACACCGGGTATTATGGTTGATCAATCTCTATCTTGTTGAATTCCAGTAGTAACTGAACAAATGATTTTTTGATTGGACCGCATATTCTATTGGGAATTATATTCGGAGTTACCTCTCTCTGTTTCATCACTACTATCAATGATCAATTGTTGGCCAAGAAGTATACTTGCTTGATTGTGTACCCTTGTATATTTTATATCTCCCTTCTCCTCTCTTAAAGATTTTTCCTTTTATGAAAAAATGTTCAGAACGAAAGTTTTTGGAGCTTTTTCTTTGAAATGTCTGAAATTATGATGTTTAAGTACAAAGTTTTTGTTCTGGTGTTATGGATTTCAAATCCTTAAAGAATATCCTGCAAGTTACTCAAAGGTTTTGTGACTACTAGACACGGAATATTGCTAGAAAGGCTTTCACTGTTGTGTTTATTTGACAGCATACTTGCCTTTGTTTTTTATTTTACTATTTTTTGGGCCTTTTTCAGGTGTTATCTTTACTACTGTCAATAATCCTCAGAGCACTAGTAAATCAGAAAGCAGAATTTGATGAAGAGAGAGCTTATGACATCAGGGAAAGACCTTGGGAGCCTTTATTGCGTCCCAATCATAGTGAAGCCTCTGTTTCTATCAGGAGTGATACTAGAGGAGGAACGCACTCAGACATTTGGAGTTCACGGATGAGAGAAAAGGTAGGTTTGCCTTGCCTTTGCATTGTTATTATGCACTAAGGTTAAGAATCCTTCTGATTTGCAACAAACCTAGTGAAATTGAATGCTGTTGGATTTGGCTTAATTCCAGTTATAGGCTATAGCAAGGATGCTTGAGCTCGATCAAGCTTCTATATTGAACTTTAAGTGCATAATGCGATAATAACTATCAATTTGGCTTGAAATGGAATGAAGATTTCTTTTAAGTTTTAGAGTGAAGTCTCGTCTTAGAGCACATAAAGAATTCTCAACAAAAAATTGCACTTGGCGAACTCATTACATGGATGATTAACAGCCAACCTGAAAATCTTCTAATTTGAATTCTTTTCTAAATGGCAAGTGTTATACTTGCCTCTTCAAGTCAAATTGCTCTGGCGAGGATGAAAAGTTGACATGCCATCATCTAAGCAGAAAAAATATTGACGGAGAAAATTAGAAGATGATTCAGGGAGGAGACACACTATAGAACTGTTTGCATCCGTAATGTAGACTGATCAATCTTTATTGCTTCAGGAAGTTTTCATTTTTAAGTCCTATCATTGTTTCACAGACCTACTTATGTTCTGGCACTTAATATTCTTTGCATATTTTTGAATTTCCTGTAGTACGGACTGAATGGCGGTGATTATAGACAAAATTCAATGAACCAAAGTGCTGCTGCTGACCATTATCCTAGGCATTGAAGACTAGAAAGGCGATCAATCTCATGGAACAGCTGAGAAATTGAGTAATTTGTTCATATTATATATATATATATATCTGTCTTCTTTCGGGCGGGGTTTTGTAATTCTTTATTCTTTTTCATTCTCGACCATCATGTACATAATTCTGAGGAAATTTTCTCTCTTGCTGTTTGGGGCTTAAACAGGGTGCTTATGCATTGATAGGTGTGATATGTAGGATTGACTGTTTCCTGCCTTGTTCTTGAATGCTCTTGTAGATCATTATTCTTGTACAGTTGGAAAGTTTCTAATAGCAATTGTGTATCACTAATTCTTTTTCTTCTATTTTTATTTTTTTTTAAAAAAATAAACTACTGATCCTTTTCATTTATGCAAAGATGGAGTGGAATATGTGAGACTGAGCAGCTAAGTAAAGATTCAGTGAATTCTTTTGAAATTCGTTTGCCCTGTTCTTTTTCCTACTATCACCTTCCATGGAGAAACAACAGGTTTGTTGATGCAATGCTCGTGAGATCCGTAGAATGGCCCCCCAAAATCCCCATGTCTGCTTGTCGGCTATCGCAGATGAAAGCCACTCGCCCCTAATCAATTACCGGGACAAAAGGATGACGTCTCCAAATCCCATCTGGGTTGTTGAGGGCAACTCATGAGTTCTACTTAATTAGTAACACTAAAATGGTTTAGAAAAGTCTTACCGAAAATGGACTGAAACTTCTAAGCGTGATTTTAACGATTTAGATAATTTAACATAATAATTAAGTAATAAAAGTTCTTTAATTGTTGATTTTGGGCATTAATTAAGTAGGATATAGCAACACTAAACGTTCCTTTGGTAATCGTTTGAATTAAATTGAGGAGATCCTCTATGATTTTTTTTAACTCAGATTTTAGGTAAGGAAGCTAATGCACTACTACAAGCTAATGCAAAAATGTCCAAATGAACTACACGCGAGTAATTTTGTGAACTGTAAAAAGTAATTTTCTTAGTACAGTAATACTTTGTAATCAAAAGATAACCTCAGGAAGCGCGCTGTCACTTTACCTTGAGCGGCTAAAATAAGTGGGAAGGAGCGCGCAGTGTCTAGCCATCAGTATCCAACCCCTTTTGACCCCATAAACCTGTGTTCCACAACCACCACTTCCCGACCGACCATGGCGGGAAAAAGGAACGCAATCGGCACCGAGAAAGATTGGACTCGATCGAGGAAGCAAAGGACGGGAGGAGAAGATGAATCTATCGAAAAACAGGTTACTCGAAAACTCTTATCTTCTTTAAAAGTCGATGCCGGCATGTGGGTAGATTTAGAGTCATTAGCCGCTGAAGGCGTTGACGTTAGGGACTGTGTCGATAGCTGTAATTTGAGGGATATTGTTACCTGTAAGGAGTTATGTTACGATGATTTAGTCAAAGAGTTTTACTCCAACTGTCGCAGTATTAAGAGAAAAGGCAAAGTTGCGGTTGTTGCTACGGTGAAAAATGTGGAGGTTATTGTCTCTGCTGATGTTTTGAAGGCCGTTTTTAATTTAGTTGATGAGGGTTGGTTTGTAGAAAATCCTAGTTCCAAGGCCATATCTGTCCAAGGTTATAATGACATTGAATTTTGTGGAGAGATTTTGCAAAATGGCTGTGATGGACGTTCAATCAAGAGTCTTGCAACTAACATGAAAGTTAGGCCCAGGATTCTGCATTTGATCATTGTGCATATCCTGGTGCCTAAAGGAGGTAGTCAGAGTGAAGCTAGTCTGTTTGAGAGAATTCTATTATGGCATATCATGAATGGGAAGCGCGTGAATTTCGGAAAATTGATTATTCACACCGTTTTGAATAAGATTGAAAAGGTTGATAAGATTAAAAGTAAAAAACCGCATCTTCCATTTGGTGGATTATTGACAAAAATCTTTAAGTATCATAAGGTTCCCATAGATGAATCTGACAGGGGATTTCCTGGCAGTGTTTTGGGGCCTGCATATTTGAGCAATATTGCTGTTGAGATTCAAGGAGTTTGGATTTTGAAGAAATTTCGTCCTATTGAGGAGGAAATTACAACACAGAGTGAGGATGTAGATGAGGAGGAAGATGAGGATTTTGCAGTTGAGGAGTCATCAAGTTGGGACGCTGTTTCCGTTTCTAAAGAATTGCTCGAGTCCATATACTTCAAAACCTTAAATACTTGGGCTGTTATTGATGATGCTCCTGAGCTTCCTCATGCGGTGAATTCACAGCTTACTGGACTTACTGAACTAGAGAGACGTCAATGGCTTGAGAACCTTGATTTTATGTCATTACATATACGCTCTCATATGATGAAGCTATCTCAATCGCATGTACATAATCCCAACATTCACAGCCATCTCCACTCGAGTTGTGCCCGAGTTTCTGCATCATCCAGAACCAGGAGGTCTGCAAGAGAATGAAACAAGAATCCCATGTAAATCAGAAATTCTCAGTTTGATATAGTTTTGTTAAATTCAGTTGTTAAGATATTTCAGAAGTTATTCAAATCTGAATAAGGATTAATTGTGACTTCTGAAATTGAATTTCACTGATGGTTTCCTTATTGTGTTTTTCTTGACAGTGCCCGTGCCTTTACTGCATTCCAGCATCCGGTTGTATCAGGAGTGATATTAGAGGGATCCATTCAGACATCTGGAGTTAAAGGATGGTGGTGATTGTACACAAAATTCTACAATTCAAAATGCAGTAGAATGGTTTTCCCTGGAGCATCCGAGACCTTGAGTATGGTTTTGTTATTCTTTATTCTTTCTCATTCTTGATTACCATGTACATCACATGATTCAGAGAGAACTTTTCTTCTCAATGGTCGGGGCATAAACGAAGGGCATTAAGGCCTTGTGATGTATAGGATATTAGGATTCACTGTTTCTTGCCTTATTGTTCTGATACCATTCATGATGATCTTTCTGAAATTTCTCTTCTATCATGAAGGCTACTGGGTTGCAAAGCTTACCTGTGGGATGGTTTTTACGCTCGGGTCATTAGATGAGAATCCAAAGATGAAGAGTAGACAAAAAAAAAAGAAAAAAAAATCACTTGTGTAGACGACTTTATTTGACTGTATTCAAGATTTTCTATTTTTATTTCATTTTTTTTGGAAAAAAAGAGAACAGATCTCCAATTTCTGCTGCATATACTATCTAGAAATCAAAAGAATTTCGTTCTTCTTAATTGCATGCTTGTACAGTGGGAAAGTTCCCAATGAATGTGTATCATTGATCTTTTTCATCCATTATGCAAAGCTGAAGTAACATTGTGAGACTGAGCATCCCTTTAAAGATTCGATGAGAGCTTTTTGTTAGTGCATATTGTAGATAAGTCTATACATACCTCTGTAGTAGCAGTATACTGTGAAGTATGGAAAATACACAAAGCACTTTGATTTGCTTTTCTTCTTCTTCTTTTTGGTTTTTCCCTTTTCTCTTTTGTTTGTTTGTTTCTTTGTTGAGATTCAAATTCAATTTGGTCGATGTACTTTGTGTGCTAGGCAGTGAAATTCATTTGCCCTGTTTTTTTTTTTCTGCTTTCTTTCACTTTTAATCGAGAAAACAGGGAAATATTGAGGCAATGCTATTGAGAACTGGAGATCCTTCAGAAAGGTGTAATTCAACCCTTCTTCATCCTTTAGAGCCGGGCTTCTTTCAATTAAATCTTTTATTCAGCAGCATGTCTCAAACCCGAACTACCAACACATCTTTCACTTGACTTTGGTTATGGTCATAAAGCGAATAAATTCTTTGCGGGGAAGATTGAGAGCATTAATCATGCTAAATGCTCCTCAGTTCTAATGCGGCCGAATCGCGGCCAGATTCTGCCGAGTTCTCAAAACACAGTATTAGGTGTCTCAACTCCCAAGCGCAACCCATAAAACACCAAGCAAAACAAGCATCCAAATATCATTGCCAGAATTTTGTCCAAAAACAGTCTACGAAATTTGTCGAACAAAGGTAATTTAGAATAGCTCACAAACTTCTAGTTGATTTTTTTTTCCTTTACCTCCTCTTTCCCAGTTTGCGTCATGTACCATGTCCTTATCATTCCAACTGATATATTTGTCCCTTAACGACGGATCTAAGCGGCTTTCAGATGGATACCATCTCACCGAACTGATATATCTGTTCTTGGTCATTTCCATTAGATGCCATCATCACCCTTCTTTGAGACAAGTCTTTCTTTGCTTCCCTGTAAACTGAGGAGGATTCTCGGATGAGAAAACATTGAGTTTAGCTGCTGTACCATATAAGATTGTGCGGCCAAATACATACATAATGTTAAATAATACTAACTTTGGGAGGAAAGTAATAAGTTCTATTAGAGTTTAAGCAAAAAAAAAAAAACAAACAAAAGATACAACTATCTAATATATTTTTTTTATTTTTTATTTTTTTATATACGGCGAAGAGGTAAAACCTGTGTTTCTTTTAGAAGAATCCTGTCTCTTCTCCGAACTGGCTAGATCTCTTTTTGCTGCTGTTTCAATTTCCTTGTTGGATTTTCGTCATTATTTAAAATTTTCGTTAAGAGTTGACTTTCTGTTTGGTTTGGTCGTATTGAAGTTGCCACCAATGGATTCGATGAACTTCCCTCTACCGACCACTGGCCTTCCCCTTGAAGTTAGTGCTTTTAGATGATTATTGTGCTTAATCTTTTGAAATTTTTCCTTAGTTATTGTTTTAGGTTTGCTTTTTTTTCTGTGTGTGTGTATGTGATGGAGGGTGATGTCCCTAAGAATGACGCGCGTGAAAGTGATGAATTTTTCAGCAGTAAGTTTGTGATCCCCTACCCACTTCCATTGTTACGCGTTGATCTATAAGCTAAAGATTGAGCCATTCTAATTGCTTATTATACTCTCTGCGTCCAATTAATTAACAGTTCACCTTATTCTACTAATTTTGTGTAACTTGGACTATCAGAGTAGGACAAAGGGAGTACTCCCCCCCTATCTTCTCTGCTGATGATTGTTCTTTTTTTTTCTCCTAAGTGTTCAACTTTGGACAAGCGGGGGTTACACAGGCGATCTCTAATGATGTAAGTAGTAGAATGTCAAAAGCAGTATTTCAACCAAATGGGTCGAAGGTGGCAAGACCGCAGAGATCGTGCTGCTTGCTTTTGGTGATGTAGGAGAGTGGCAAGAGCTCTCTGATGATAGAAAACGGAAGAGTACTGATGCAGTGGCCTTGCATATTTACATTTGCTGTAGTTTTATTACTTGGAAGTGTAGAGCAGAACTATTGAAATTGAACCAGATGAAATTAAACTCATATTGTACTGTGAAGCCTGACTGAAGCCATTATTATTATTATTATTATCAATCTCTTTTTTACTAAAGTTCGTGAGATCAACACTCAACAGTATAAGAAAGCGATAGTGTAGAGAAGCTTTTGCTAAATGGTCGATCATCCGTTTGGAAAAACGATATTTGAGTTTTAATTTTTTTTTAGGTTCTTGTAGTTCTCTCAAGCAAACTATTTCTTTCATCTGCAACTTCTAAAAATTTCAAGCGCGACCGAAGTGTCTTCACCATTAAATACGGCATTGCCAAGAGAAGACGAGAGACGGGAATAGTTTTGTTCCACCCATAAAGAAACCTTAGGGTTGAGTAATTGGTAAAGTTCTGCTGCATATGCTATTTAGAAATCAAACGAATTTCAGTCTCTGTCTTTTTCTTTTTTTTTTGAAATAAAATAATTTATTCAAGTCCGAGCAAATCTTGGCAATGTGACCTTGTTTACCACAATTTTTGGCATATCTCCCTTTCTGATGCAGACGGTGGAGGTGCTGCTGGTCTTTGTTACCGTGGAATTTGAACTTGGAGCCTGATTACGTGTCTGCTAAACGGGCACGACGACTTTGTATTTCAGGGGAGAGATTCTGCAAAATGGCTATAATGGACGTTCAAAGAGTGAGTTGCAACTGATATGCAAGTTAGGCCCTGGATTTTGAATTTCATCATCATGCATATCCCCCGGTGCCTAAAGGGGGCCTTTCCAGTTTGAAGGAATTCTACTGTGGCATGTGATGAATGGAAAACAAGTGACTTTCTGGAAACTGATGATTTCCACCACTCTAAACAAGAGTTAATAACTTCAACTAAGAAACCCCATCTTCCTTCTGGTGGATTATTGACACAAATCTTTTAATGTTATGATAAGGTTTTCCAGAGATGAGACATGTCTGACGGGATTTTCCAGTTGTATTCAGGGGCCTGCATATGTAAGGAATATAGATGTTGAAATTGAAGGAGTTTGATTACGTAGCAAAATGTAGATGAAGAGGTAGATGAGGATTTTGCTTGCAGCCTAGGAGTCGTCCAGTTGGGAGTACATATATTTCGAATGCGCTTAAATACTTGGGCAGTTATTGAGGAGCTTCCTCATTCACGGCTTACTGGTCTAACGAGCTAGAGAGACGTCAATGGGTTCACAACCTTGATTTTATGTTGTTTATTATACGTTCCCTCATATGATAAATTTATCTTGAGCACTTGCAGCATGTTTATCCAAACAGCCACGGCCTGCTGCGATCGAGTTGTGTTCGAGTTTCTGATCCAACGACCGCCAGGAGGCTTGCAAGAGAATCTAGCAGGAGTTCTTTTGTTCTTTTTGGCTGCATAAAGAGTATTTACAAATGGGTACTCTTGCAAGTCGCAAATTTGGTACTGTATGTGATTTCTAATGGATGCAAAGCTTTACTTTTTCAAAGTTACACATTTGAACTCTTGCTATTCGCATTTCTAAGCTCTTTCAACTCTTCACCTTTCCACAATGCAGTTACTGGTGGTCAGTCTCTGGAATCACCGAGACTAATAATTACATGATTATATGCTACTGAACACAACCAAAAGAAGATGATTCTATGACAGGGTAGTATGTCCGTTAGTAGAATCAGGACCACGGAGAAAGAAAATTTTATATATAGATACATAAAGAAATGTTTCGCATGTGTACAAGTGACCTGAGGTTTTGGCTCAAGGGGGGTGAAAATAACCTTAAACTATCCTACAATGATCGACGGACATAACAGCTAGATATACGCATGGACCATCATTTTGGGGGGTGGGAAAATCACCACAATGATATTACTACACAAATAATGGTTGTAATCATAAAACTAAATTAGATTGCAGAAATGCCGCTTACACCTCGGCAAGTCAACTCAATGACAGCTTCTTGCACTAATTCTTCCAGCAGCTTGCTTTCAATTTCCTTCCCTAAATTATCCATTTCTAATCGCAAATGGTCTACCCAACCCTTTCCTACAACTTCCTTCCTCACCACCATCTCCACAACCAGGCTGTTATTGTCCCCACAATCATCCGAAACACAACGCTCCTCGCCAGAGAACCATTCCTTCATCCGGGCCCAAACTTGATCCACTGTTACGAATGATTTGCCTTCTAGTAGGAGGGTCTTGTGGGGACCACTACATGGTATTGCCCTTTGGCATGTGTTTGGCCCATACCCAGCCATGTCCACCAAAGCTGCATTGACACAATCAAACACAAGCTTTCTAGTTGATCTTTTTTGCCTCCTCTTTGCCTCATGTACCATGTCCTTGTCATTCCAACTGACATATTTGTCCCTTAACGACGGATCTAAGGGGCTTTCAGATGAGTGCCATCTCGCCAAAAAAGTGTCAGATTGCACTTCACCTTCTAGACCTGCCACCGACAATAATGCCTGAACAAAGAAATACCATTCTCTTTCCTCTTCCTCGGCTGTTTGAGGGGGAAGAGACGGCTTTGAAGGATATGAAGTGGCAGTGTCCGTACATGAATCATCCCATGATAACGTCCTGGCAATAGTTCCTATTGGTGGCGACTTGTCAATGAGGTTTGATTTGCATTTCACAGGCAAGCCCCCTGATATTCAAAAAATAAAAAACAAAGGAAAAAATCACACCCCAGATGTTAAAACAAAATCTGGAGAAGTGTCGGTCCATTTTGTAAATGAATCATACCATGCTCGTCTAGCTTGGAATTGCCAGAGGATTCAGTTGCCGTGTGTTCATCCTCTTCGAATGGAGTTTCTAAAACAGATACGGGACTTGGTTGATCCTGGTTCTCAGTTCGGTTACCAGATAACAGATGCTTCGACAAAGAAAAACCAGCCTACATAGGAGAAAATAATTTAATATTTTCAAGGTCTTCAAAATCAAGAAAAAAAAGTTACACCGAAGTTGCTTATACATATCTAACGCCTAGGGCAAAAGGAAGTATATCATTGCAATACAATTTTGTGGGAGCAAATGCAATTCTAACTAAGCTTGGTGTTCTTCTCGTCACAAGATTCTCCAATACAAGGTCACGACAATTCCCATTGCTCATACGGGGAAGAGATAAGAAATGAAAAATTGTGAAAGGTAAAGACAAATACATAAGGTAAAACAATATATTTTTTGAAAAGAAAGAAATGCAAATTGCAAAACGATGGGTAACTAGCAACACAAAAAGCTTTTACAAATCCAACAGAAAAAAAGAAAGAAAGCAGGCCAAAACATGCTTTACACTTGGAAATGCAGCAGAAAACCATGGATAAGAACATATGCAATGAACTTCGGAAAAATATAGAACTACCTCAGACGAATTGATCACTGAAGTGCCAGAAAGATCAGCAGAAGATGTGCTGGAAACTTGACGTAAACTAGGTGATGAACATTCTTCGAGGGCATCGTCATTGAGAGCTTGGGTTCCACCATTCTCAGTACTCCCCAGAGAATCCGAAGGCATTCCTGCAGGAAGCGATTCATCTTTGGATAGGGTTGCAACGGGCTTTTCTTTGTTAGATCTTTTACTCCTCAAAAAGAATAAACTTGAAACTTTTCCTTTTAATGATGATTTTGCCCTTCTTTCTTTAGCTGTCCCCTTCAATATTTCTGTCTTCTGGTGCCCTTCATTTGGTACATCCAAATGAGGTTGGACACCAAAGACTGTAGACGATACAGGGAGGGATTTTGACCTGACAAGGTTTCTCATCGGATCATCCGTGTGTTCATCCTTCTCTAGATTATCAACCAACTTTGCTGTTGAGTCTCTGGAATCTTCATCGCAGCCCCCTTCAGCACTTCTTATTGTATTTTTTGTGTCTGAGAGGGCAAGCATTTCACCCAATGTACTAGAGCTTCTCCGCATAGGTCTTTGTTCTTGGTAATTCCCATTAGATGCCATCATCGCCCATCTTTCAGAGAGTCTTTTCTTTGCTTCCCTACAAACTGAGGATTCTGGAGAATAAGATGCCCGGCTAAACGAGGAGGAAGAGAAAGGACTGCCATATTTATTAACATAATCCCAAGAATGCCTAGAAGTTGGTGACATGACTTCTGAATCACTCAAATTTCCAGCTGCATACTCATTCTCTGATTTGTGAAACGAACTTTCATCACCAATGTAACCGTTCGAAAACACAGAGGAAAGTAACGTCTCATCCCTGCGATGCCCACTTAAGTTTTCCCGCATCTGTCGAGTGATCTCTCTTGCAACTTCTCTAGACTTTCGGGCCTCGTCATCTTCTTCCATATTGAATTCTTCCCCATGCAATACTCTAGGTGACAAGGGGGTTGGGGAGACCACAGCCTTGATATCAAGGGGTTTGCCAGGGCTAGGTTTTAGAACAACAATGCGTGTTGGTTGAGCAGCACTTTCATCAACCTTCCAACCAGCTACAGCAGGGGAAACTCCAGGTTGTATCTTGTCTGACTGTACCACTTGACTTACTTGTGCAGCCTTCTTTATCTGCTTTTCATTACTCTTTGCTGAAAGTTTCCCATTTTCCACTATCTTGCAGGGGCGCAGGACAGTTATTCGTTTTGTCTCCGGAGGAGGACCAGCATTTCCATTATAATGCTGAGAATACATAGAATTCGGTTCTTGCAGGAACTTAACAAACAAATCTTTGTTTGAGTTCAAGACATCTATTGCATCTTGATATTGTTGAGTCTGACGGAGCTTTTCATCTGTAGACAGGCGCTTTGCTTCAATGAACTTTTGCCGTACAAGGGCCATTTTGGTGTCATACGATACTTCATTGCATCTTTCTATGGGTGGTCGATCTCTCGTCCAACTAGTTTTTGGTTGTTGCATAATCTCATAAATATCCTTGCATTCATTATGATGAGAGTGAGTAGAATGTTGATCAACCTCATGTTGCATCTCTAGATCCCAGAATCCTTTATCATGCTGCCAATAGCTAAACAATGTATCTGATTGACTGCGTGAGTAACCTCTGGAAAGGCTTCTTTCTTTTGCCAAATCAGGTTGCTGCCTGGGAAGGGCATCAAGCCCCATCAACTTCGCAACTACACTGGGAGGATTATGCCTAGAGTCTTCTTCTTTGGACATTTCTTGAGCGATGAGCATCTTCATAGGTGTGCCGCTACCTTTTCTGTTTGAACAAGTTCTATCCAACTCAGACACCATCTGCACATTCATTATATATTGGAAAATGATGAGTGTAAAAGATACAGCATGGCTGAGTTGAGCAGAGAATTGTCTAGAAACAAAGGCATACCACTTTATCCGCCAATTGGTCTTCGAAGTGACCCATCCTTGAAATATCTGAATGGCTCCTCCTTGAATGTGGAGATCCTACAAAATACACTTCCAGGTCAGATCATCTTTATATTCATGGCCAAAACAAATTAATAACCTTCCCAAATCATCTCTAGCAACCTAAAATGAAACAGATGGAATAAAATACAGTGATATAACTAATCTTTACATCTCCTGGCAATCAATTTTGCTTAATCCAAAAGAACTTTGTGGGAAAACTCTACGAGGCAAAGCGCAACAACATCTACATAAAACCTAGCAACCGCAAGTATAAACAACAAAACTAACAACTAGAGAAAATCATTCACGTTTTCACTAGGCCGTGGAAAAAAATATGAATGTAATGTTCCTATGCACAACAACTGAGTAAACTAGTGAATTCTCCACACACACACAATCAACAAAGCTCCACAATTAGTTGCAAATTGAAAATCAGAAGTTCTCAATACTACATGGTAGAGAAGGGAAATTACTGTCACGGTGAGGTTTATCTGTGAGCAGCCTGTTCGCTGACATTCCAGCACTCAAATCAAACAAGTTTACCATCCTACCCAAGCATCCTGGAAAAGAACTCTCAAGGTTGTGATTCTTGTTAGTATAAATTCCATTCATTTTGGCACCTGAGACATGAAAAATGCATTTGGTCAATCTCAAATCAATATGGAGTTAGTGTCTGCAACAACTAAAAACAATGTAAAATGTGCTCAGTGCATAAAGAGGATCATTTATGCCTTGAGAGCAAAAGGGAAAGCAAAAGACCTTTAAATCAAAACACAAATAGAAGAAAACAGCAACAAGAAGATGAACAGGGGATGAGAAGATTATATTCAACGAATAAATTGATCACTTTAAAAAACCACTTTAAGGGAAAACTTGAGGTAACATATCTACTTTTGCATAATATCAGCAAAATAGCAACCTAAACCATAAAGGGTGAAAGGGAAGAAAGGGGAATGAAACAACCTGCACAGCTCCATCTCCTGCAGCAAATTAGGGGAGAAAGTCCACATGTAAAAGAAAAAGAAGGGCTTTGAATTTTAAAAGAGCATAAAGATAGAACAACTTGAGGCTTCAATATTGTGCTAGAGAGGAAAATACCGTTTGAAGCAGGAGAAATCAAATCCCAAAATAGGGACAAATAAGGAAATGAAAAAGCCTAGATTTACGTGACTAGATCAGAGAATTACAAAGACAACACTAAGGCAGACTCGCTGTCAAATTCCACGGCAAATTCCCATGAAACCTCACATCAGGCAGTCACAGCTCAAAAGCATGTCCAGAGCAAACTCCAAGTCCTCATCCCCAAATATTCATTTTCATTAAACGAAAAACTTATAAGCCAAAGTGAAAATCCCTAGACAAAGCAGTCAAGTCAGCTACATTTTTTGAAAATCAATTTTTCACAACAAGAGACCTCCAATCCTGGTTGAATCGACACCCCAAAGGCCCAAACACCCACCAGATTTGATGTTATCTTAGAGCTGATTGAATAACAAGTCACCAAATCAAGGATTAAACGCGAAAAATGTTTGTCCTCAAGCTCAAAATCAGAGTAAGAAATACGAATCAACGGTTCAAAACTGACTGTAGACCGAAAGGGAACAAAGAAAAAACAGTCCAAATTTCTAAAAGCTGCAATTACTGCAGAAACAAAAAAGGCAAAATCAACAGTGGTAACCTTTTATTGAACTTTCAAAAATAATAAACATTAAAACGAGGAATCTAAAAAAACATTCGTACATACCTTCGAAAAGCGAGATCGGAAGATGTTACCCAAAAGGTAAAGCCAATAAAAGCTACTCCATTACTATTACAACGAAAAGCCTCCCGGAAATACTTAAATCAAAGCTTAATGGCACAGCCTCTGACACCGCCGACGAACTGATAATCGGAAACTCCGACCAAAACAAAGCTCCACAATCTTCCTTTTCCTTTTACTGTTTGTCAATTAGTTGAGGTCTGCCGACGATTAATGCCTCTAGTCTTGAGGCGATGAATTAGATTGAGCCGGAGAATGACATTCCGGTGAGGGAAGTCGCCGGAGATTAATGATAAGCTGGTAGTTTTTGTACGCCTTAGTTGGCTGGCAGTGAAGAGTGACTAATAGTATTATTCTTCGTTCATCGCATTTGCTGCTGCACCGACCCTGTGTCGGACTTGAATGGCCTTTGTTTATTCTGATTCATTTACGTGTTTTGATTACGTAGAGAGAGAGAGAAAAGACGAAAAATGATTTTTTTAAAAATCGAAAAATAGGATAATACGCGAGTAAATTGATAAGATTTTTCTCCTTTCATTTCTTTTTTTTTTTTTATATTATTTTCCCTTCTTAAACTTAGTTTTGCTGGATGGTCCTTGTGCTTTGAGGGTTGCTTTAGTTGGCCCCCTCTATAATAATGGACTCCAACATTTTTCACGTCCAAGTTATTGCATTTTTTTTTTTCATTAATTTCTAGTGGTCCAAAAATATCTAACAAATATATTTAGTTCTGTGTGGTATTTTATTTAATGAACATGTTAGATTTTAGAAAACATGACATTTCATGAAGGAAATATAGGTTTGTCATTAATGTCACTAGAGCAACTTGAGGAGTCTTGGATGGGTTCGTATTTATTACTTATATTTTCATGATTTTACATATTTTATCCGTTCCAAAAAAAATAGTCTACTGGAAATTCGTGTTTTTTATTCTAATTTTAAAATTTAATGTAGATTATTTTTTTGAGACATGAAAGAATTCTGTAAGCAAATTTGATTAATGTAAAGGAGTCGAAGAATGGCCTCGTGACTTAGCAAGAAACGGCTTTAATTTTACATCTATCCAAGGTTAAATCTTATATAGTGGTTTTCTTATGATGTTTATATCATTAAGAAGCTTATTAAAAAAATTTAATATAAAGATTGAAAAACTTTTAAAATCTATATGTAATTAGTTAATTTTTGCATTTTCTTTTTTTTTAAGAAAAAAAGAGTTAATTTTTGCATTTTATTTCCCAAAAACAAACTGTCAACTCGGCACTTCTCTATGTTAAATACTCGGGTCACTTCATCAAATAAATTTCCTCAATTCCTATAACTATCTTGTTTTGTAAATGTCACAGACGTAACTTTTTAACAAATGAGGTACTCAAAATAGCCCAGATGTCAATATTTAGTGTTGATACTTTGAACTTACTCAAAAGTACATTAACTTCTGAATACGGCTTGATATCCTCCTCATCAAAAGTGGAATCCCTTCGTACTACAAAGTATGATTAAGATATGAGGAACCAAAATAATTCATTCTTTTTAACTCCACATATGAATATATATATATATATATATATATATGAACTGCCTTTCTCATTATTCTATTCCGTGTAAGTTGGCAGAAACTAGTGAGTAAGCGACAACTGGATTATTGGATTCATAAAATAAATTAAAGTATTCATAATTAAATAAAATCCACCAACTGTGAATAATGAAATGTTAATTTAAGAAAGTATAGTTTTGGGCTATAAAAAAGGGGCACAAAAATGTTGTATTCCTTGATGATGATTAGCCTTTATAATGAGAGGGTTGTTGTTTAGTTTATTTTCTTTGGATTTACTTGAAGTTTCGTCTTTGTCTGTGGGCACTCGACAAACACGGTATCGTTTGGTTGAAAATCTTGCAATTTTCATAATTGACGTTTAATGCCCGCATTTTGAACCTTGATTACAGTTTCCCGCAGCCTTCCAAAATTTAGTTATTTCAGTCTATGTATTTTTGTTTGTATGGAGTTTCTGACAATATATATATATATATATATATGCTGAGCATGATATATCGTACTCCTTCCATAAATTTAAATAATCAACATTAAATTATAAATATATTTTTTTAACCATTCAAAAATTTATAGTGTTGACTATTTTTCTAGACACAAAAAAGAATCTACAATGTGAATTATTTTTGTGAGACAAAAATAGTAACTAATAAGGTATGAGAAAGTTAAAAGAGTAAAATGTGAATGGCTACAGAAAAATAACAATTTTATTAAGAGAATTCAGGCGTTCAACCTCTAACCGAACATAATATACTGGTGGTCAAATTGCAATATGTACATCAATTAGTTACATTGTGCAATCCATGATATGTCACCCCCAAAAATAGAAAATTTAGTCTATGACATTTATTTTATTTAACTTTTTGAAATTCAAGAATTATAAGTGGGAAAATATCTATTTATTGGAAAACAGCGGGATTTTATTTTTATTTTTATTTTTTGAATTTGTGATTAGATTGCATTATCATATATCGCTTAAGCAATTATTTCATTTTCAAATGTAGCTTAATCATGTCCCACCAAAATGATCATGATCAGCTCTTTGCTGCAAGTTTATTCCCTTTTAGAACGGAAAATTCGAACAAAAAAAGAAGTTTCATCATGAGAAGACTCCTAAAGATGCTTTGCTAAAAGAGGAAATCAAATTTTGGCGTTTGCTATTCCTATTTTTTATTTCCCTGGTTTAAGCACTAATTTTACATTGGTAGTTTTGTACATGCACAGTGATTTAAAAATGATACGTAAATTGGAAAAAAAAAAAAAATCAAAAGGTTGGGGAGTAGCTTTCAAAGGATACGTAAAAATGTCATGTCATATTATTTTTACTTTATCTCGTGAGGTCGTAATAATATTCACCTAACGCACAAACAAATTCGTACTACATTGTGGAATAATAAACAGCACAGTGGAGAAACAACAACATGTCGAATCTAAACTCTGGTGTTCACTTATTACGATGGCGCCAGAGAGACTAAGAGATAACCAAAAATACAGGTCATGAACAAGTTTAAGAAGATCGAGAGATTTTTAGTTCTATCCAATCCAACATTTATTTATTAATGATTTGAGTTTTGGTTTCTAGTGTAAATGAGTTTGTTTAATTGAGTTATAAGTGATGCATTTGGGTTGTTAAGTGGAAAAGATTCATCTATTGGTAACCAACATTCAATATAGGAATTTTGTCGCTTGTAGTAAAGAAATATTAAATTCTTTAATCAATTATCTTAATTATCAAAATATGTACAACTCAACAATTTTTATTTTTTTCATTGTCATCAACGGTAGTCACACAGTGATGTACTAAAATAGATAACTAAATTATTGAAGTTATTATGGAACCAAGAATAAATTTAATTGTGAAAATGCAACAAGTTGAGTAAAAACAAGCACTGAGCTGGATGAGTTCCCACATAACGTTGGGATTGCTCACTGAATTTTGCTAGGAGATTTTGAAGTTTGGGATTTTTATATTAGAAATGTAGAAAGGAATTGAGATTTTATTTTGTTTTATCTTTTGAGGCGTATGATTGTTGGGTAAATACTAAAAGATAGTGTATTCGAAATGACAAGAATAGAAGATGGAAAGATTAGGAGGAAATTCGAGGCTCGTGAAAGACACGATTTTTTTAAGACAGATTAGCCCTCTCCCGAATGTGCAAGAGTTTAGTGAGCTTCTATCTCCCAGGATACAACGAATTCGTAAAGATTCCTTTATACTAAGGATCTTCACCAGCGAACTAGAACCTTAGAATTCAAAGAACACCAAGAGAAATAGACTAGAAAGGCTAAGAAGAAAGCTAAGAGAGCTTGAAAATTTTTGGATGATTTGTTTGTTAAAAATGAGCAACTATTTATAGGTGAAGAGTTACTTGAAGTAGTAGAATTGTTCTATTCATTCTCCCAAGTTAATTAAATTAACTTAGTTAGATACAATGTTTCACCAAAACTAAAGAGGTTTCATTAAGTTCTAAAGAGGTTTCATTCATGAACTTAATCTAACTATGAATATGAACATTCATCCCCCTTACATCCTATTAATATTGATTCGTGAATTTAGTTCATTCAAATGAATCTGCAAGGACTCTTCATCTACTTGGAAAATAAATCAAGATAGGTTCATGATTCGGGTTGATCATGAACTCAAAGGTTTTATACCTTTCATATAATGTCTCTAATTTTATTTTCCAATTAATAAGAAACCAAAATTCTCATTCACATTAGCTCAAATTCCAACAATCCCCCATATGAATGAGATATTGTTTCGAATTAGTAATAGTGTTCATTGACTGATTCCTGCATGGGGAGAAAGTAGATGTTACTCTTTGAACTTCCTCCTTGTAAAGTATGCTTGCTTTACTAGCTGTCCAGTAGACGCGATGTCCTTGAACTGTTCGGCTGTATTGTGTAAAGAAATCCACGTACAATACACATGAACCATTCCTTTATGTCGTTCTGTTCTCATGATTTTGTTCATTTTTTGGCCATGAACACTTCCTGGTTCTATGAGAGTTTCTAAAGAACTGAGCCTCACTAGTTCTCCTTTGAAGCGGCCCCACTTCTCTCTCACATAGGTGACTTCTTAAGTCGAGAGCAAAGTTTATTACTCACTTAAGTGTCATTAAAGCAACCATTTCCTATCCTTTCCATTATATCATTGTTTTATGACAGGAATGAGTTGAGGTTTTCCCCCACAGTGACCACACTAAGTCTTAAGATTAGGTTGTCCCTTTGAACATAGATCTTGGGATCTCCAGTCAACTAGGTTGGGTTTTCCTTCAAAAGACTTTATCTTTTCATAGGCTTTACACCCATTCCTTTTGTCAATCTTTCAACTGCCTCTCTATTTAACCCTTTGGTTAGCGGATCCGCAATATCATCTTTTGACTTCACGTAGTCAATTGTGATAATTCCTGTTGAGAGGAGTTGTCTAATGGTATTATGTCAACGACGAATATAT